ATGACCTGAATCCAATTTAGCATGCATTTACTTACTGAAGTTAAAATTGAAGGGAAAATCGAAGGCACAAACGAGCACAACGTGACTATTGGTTGTAGAGTATTCATGATCAAACTTTTCGATGATATTGATAGTATGTTCTATTATAATTATTCCTTCACCTTGACCTGATTTATCAGATTTAGATGTAAAAACCATCATATTATTGTTTTAATTCATTTCCATTCAGCTGGTGCAAGTCAAAAAAGATTATGTCCTAATCTATGACCTGACTATATGCTAAAAGTCAAGAGTGAATGTTAATTATACCTTATGTTTGACTTCTTAAGATAATAATATTCTTAGAATAGGTCTTTTATTGTGATTCCCTCCAACATTAATTTGTAAGTCAATATATTTAAATAAATGCCATCTATGCATTCTGTTTCAGATTGGGTGCTGATTAAACCAATTCTGTGTGTTTCATGGTGCATTTCAACCGGCTCCTCTCCTCGTCCTGACAGTGTTCCCCTGAGACTGCTCCTAAATGCTGCTTCATACACTTGTAAGAAAGTTCATCTGGCAGCAGAGCCGCTAAAAGGCAGGAGCTGGCCTACTTTCTCACCCCCAAATACTTTTCTTCCCAGCAGCACACTGATGTGGTACTTCGTTTGCCTCCTGAGCAGCACTCAATCAGGCGACCCAACCAAACTCAAAAAGAGAAGGGACTTACAAACATCAACAATAAAAAAAATATTTTTTTTTATTCATAGCTACAAATTCTATCAAGGAATACCCCGTAAGGAAATTAATATTTATATTTTTGTATATTCCACATAACTTATTGTTATTGGGGATGAATCAAAACGAGAAAGGCGAAACAAGAGAGCCGCTCCTCATGCCAGTGAGGACCAAGCCCCGGTGATCCAAGATGGCGCCCTATTCAAATCAATGGCTTGTGCTCCGTGGCAAATGTGCCACCCACGGATCTATGATAATAACTGCATAGGGTATTACTAGCTTATAGCTGTCCCACCCACGGGCACAGGGGGCGCCCGTGGTACTGCAGACTAAATTCACGCGGGCTACCCAGAATAATGTCCCATAGAACTCAATGTAAACAGCTCGACCTCAGCTGACAGAGAACCTACAGCTTTCATAAGATCGGCTTTGGAGAGATTTTAGTGTCCCTTGTCATCCTGAACTTTATTTCTTATTAAATCCCTCGGTTTTCTTTAAATCCACACTTTACTGCCACAAACTCTGCTCAATTGGCTCCCGCTCCAACTCCCGCTCTGATTAACTGCTCTGATTGGTCAGAGCGCGGCCGAGCCTCTCTGTGCACGTGCGTGAGACCCCATGTGAGACCCACACACGCTTTTCTTTATATTTTCTTTATATCCACACTTTAGTGCCACAAAGTTTGCTTGTTTTCTTCCCGCTCCGGCTCCGCTCTGGCTCTGCTCTGGCTCCGCTCTGATCAGCAGCTCTGATTGGTCAGAGCGCGGCCGAGCCCCTCCGTGCACGTGCATGAGCAACGCATCATGGGAGCTCGGCTACTGCGCAGAACCAGGAGGACCAGACGATGTCCAAATATGGGCGAGTTCCGCTAATCTTAATGTCCCGTGCGCCACTGAGCACATGCCATTGATTTCAATTGGGGGCCATCTTGGATCACCAGGGCTTGGTTCCACCATAGGCACCGAGAGATTAGCGGAACTTGCCCATATTTGGGCATCGTCTGGTCCTGGTTCTGCGCAGTGGAAGAGCTCCCGTGATGCTTTGCGCCAAATACGCATGTGCATGTGGTGCTCAGCCACGCTCTGACCAATCAGCGGCGAGTGATCAGAGCGGAGCTAGAGCGGGTTTGTGGCACTAAAGTGTGGATTTAAAGAAAATGAGGATGACAAGGGAAACCAAAATCTGACCTTTATGAAAGCAGTAGGTTCTCTGTCAGCTGCGGTCGAGCTGTTTAAGTTTACCGTAAGAATCCAGCATGGGTCCTTTAGCTCCAAGCTAGTAATACCCTATTTAGATATTAAATAGATCCATGGTGGGGACACGCATATCCCTCCTCGACCGCTCCTTGTCCACATCTCAGTCCACGCCCCGTCTAGAGACCGTCCCTGTTCTTGTCCGCCTCTGTTGTCCTTCCACCTTCTCTTTATGTTGTTCTAACTCCTCCTGCCATCCGGCACAGATCGTCTCATGACTGGTGCCATTGGTCCACTTGTTTGGATGGTCAATGCAGCATGGGGATGGCAAATTAACTCATAAGAAACACAGCAAAGATACAAGCATGCAGAAACACAAATGCCATCTCCATATGCCCATGAAAGTACATGCAGCTAGAGGAATGGAATCATTCAGTCAACTAAGGAATGTATTGAGAAAAGAACAAAGGAAGAGTGCTTAATGTAAGTAAAAGTCAGAATAAAAGTGAAAAAAGGAAGAGTGCTTAATGTAAGTAAAAGTCAGAATAAAAGACAAAAATCTGTTCAAAGGCTGAACTGTGTAAATTCCACCCGGACCAGTCTGGATGAGTCTCAGTAGCGTGACCTCCACTCTACAACATGCTCCTGGTGAGTGGAGGCAGCAGAGGAGAGAGCTCAGTGCTGGTTTGGCGTCTGTGGCACTGCACATTCACAATGTCAACATGTAAGCCCTCGTGTAGTGCTTTGTGTACATTGAAATTGGAAACAGGATAAACACAAGCCTACTTTGTATTAGGAATTTAAAAACCGTATTCATTCTTCTCATAATGGATATAGGCCCACTACATTGTTTTTTTTTTTCTCTCAAGATGGATTCTAATGAATTCATAGGTTGAAGAAAACCTCTCTCCATCACGGTTCAACATGTTGCCCTGGCTTAAAACATGTGTTAAAAATGTTCCCAAAGCCCATGGAATCATTATTTTTCTAGTTTTGCTTAAGCGTTTTACATCTTGGTTGCAGATTACAAGAGACTAGGGGGATGAAAAGGACCATAGTAATCATGCTCAACAGTGTAATATTATGTAAGATGTGAAATGCTGTACTCATAGACCTGTTTTGTATAAGCTCATCCCGCATCATAACCTAAAGTGTGTATCATTAACCACTACAGCAACACAAAACCATTATTATCATTATTAATTTCATTATGACTCCTCACAATTCTGATATTTTCATTAATTTCTCATATTTTAGGTTGCTATCAAACCCTTTCTAGATTGTGGATGATGGGAAAGACAAATTGTATCCCACATTAGCTTTTGGGCTAATATTGTCAGGAAATAACTGAATACACTCACCTTTTGAGGCTTTGTGATTTTATTTTGATATTTTTTTATACAATTTTGCACGTTTCGTCATTATTTTTTGCAGCGTTTGGTGTTCTGTGCCCTGATTGGCTGTGGCCAGGCGTACAACATTCAGACTTCAGTGCATTAGTTTGGGTTGGTCCGGTTCTGAATCTAAGACTCTGAAGGGTGATTGGAATATCAAATTCTCAGAGCACAAAAAATAGGAAACATTTAGACCTGTACATTTAAAGGCACACAAATTAACCCTTGACTTTTCTTTTCTTTTCTTTTCTTTCTTTCTTGTATATCTGTAGATAGATAGATGGATGGATGGATAACTTTATTACAAACTCATGGTCTAGATAAGCATGGATTTATATTTAAAACACAAGGCCATTTCATCAGGCATAAGTTTCAGGCATGTGTCTGTCCTCAGTCCTGAGTGGGCAGCTCAGACTTATCTCCCCCGCTCTAGGAGGAGGTGAGGACTGGTGACCTGGGCCTTCCCCTGACTCCCCATCTGTTCTAAAGCAGAAAGTGGGTGAATCAGTTTGATAGACATCCTCGTACTGGACAGGACTGTAAGGTTATTTACATTACGCACACTAAAAAATCCATTGTATGGAGTCTGAACTATATTTGTGTTTTTCTGCAACGTGCATAGGATTATTAAAGCTATATATATACCAAATAAGTAAATACATGCTGATTTCTAGCCACAAATGATGGAACCGAGAATGGGCCAAAACTGAAGAAAAAAACATAACAGGCTGTCTTGCAGTCTCTAAAACAGAATAATAGCAATCTGTCACTGCATCTGTGAGTTCACCTCCAAAAGAAAGAACGGCAAAGCATTTGGCAGTTTTGTGTGTTACATTGAATCACAGCGCAAATAATAGAAAATATGCAAACGTCACAAATATAACATAAGATAACGTGATTGATGAGAGATCGAAGTCTGATCGAGGACATATGAGCAAATGAGTCTTATCAAACTTCTCTAATGAATTGCCTAAAACATGTTTTACTTGCATTTGTAAGAAGGGACATTTTCATTAAAAATTGTGACATATAGAGGAATAAGAAACACAAATAATTATATTTAGAAGATAACTACAATATTTATGCTTAAGAAAACATTAACTGAAGTATATAAATATAAAGCAAGATTGTCTATTGTTGCAAATGTAATTAAATCGAGTCTGACTAACTTACACTTTTAAACGTCCACCATTTAAAGGTACAACGTGTCCATCATGTTGCATTGTACATTAAGTGGAATTTTGAAATATTTCCCGTTTTCTTAAATTGTAAAACAAATGTACTGGTATCCATGATGAATGAGTGGCTGAGGAATAAGGGACTGCAAATAATACTTTGAAAGTGCTTGCGGAACATTTTAAAATGTTAGATTGAATAGTTGTTTTGTACATGCAAGTTAAATATTGCAATCTGTGAGTTATCAGGCAGTGTTGATTTTTCCAAACGGCATCTAAGGCAACAGTAATACCTGAGAAACTCAAGCTCATTCATATCATTTTTCCATTACTCATGTTCCTCTCTATCCTTCATGCTCACAAATGAGTCGTGAGTATGCTGATGACACGCGCGCACGCACGCACACACACACACACACACACACAAACACACACACGCACGTACACTCACACACTTTGCACGATTGTGGATGTCAATGCGGGTTCAAGGTTCTTGCACATTTGATTGGGGGCTTCATTCACTCACCACTAAAGTTCTTGCCGCAGATGAGGTGTTGATAGGGCTGCAGAAGACCCCAGATCTCAGAGTCACTGCTTATGGCTTGCTCAAGTGACTCGAGAGAAAACTTGGGGATGCCGTTGTCTCTCTCCATCATCGCGCTGCGCAGTATTCGGCAGAACACGTCTCGGAATAGACTCTCCATGCACGCTGCGAGGTATATGGCTGCATGGTCGTGGATCCTTAGAGCCACCCGACTGTCTACCATCCACCTGAAGAACTTCCCCACGGAGAAGACGAGCCCGCAGCGCGCAGACTTGCCTCGGCTGAACTTGTCGCCCGTAGTCATATTGTAGAGTGAGAGTGCGCTCACAGCTCCAGTGATACAGTTTACAGAAATGGTCCACGATAGTACCATCTTAATTGCACTCTGGATCTCGTTTTTGGTGCACTTTGCATAGCGCAGGCTCAGGCGCTGTGCTTCGCGGGCCACCCGCAAGAGCGCACGGCTGATGAGAGCCGAGAGTCGGGCCAGGACCTCCGGTGGTGGGCTCCCCGCCATAAGCGTCTCATCCTTCCTCAGCGCACCCTCCACCTCCCCCAAGCTCCACGGCACGTCCTCCAGCTCGGGCAGCTTGGCGCACTGGCCCGAACACTCCAGGATGTCCGTGTCCTCCGCCAGGACAGTGTTCACCGTGTCCAAACTGTTGTGCCTGCTGTGCATAGATTCTGTCAAATGCCAGCAGTTGCCCCCATGCAAGGACTGCTGCGTGTCGGAGCAGCAGAGCGACACGCTGGATGACCTGACCGAGTCTGCAGCTCCACCATAACCAGAATCCAGAGTTAGATCCTCCAGCGTCCTCACGACTGTTTTACCAGTGCCTGCCATGACTGCGCCGCATACTGTAGGTATGCAGGGGACCGCTGACCAGAGCCACAAACTCCCAAGTCCTCTCACGCTGTTCTCGGGTTTCCCCCCCAAAATAACAGGAAAAATGATAGTAAAAAACACCAGCAAGATTATTTTGCCAACAATCACGGTGAATCAATGTTCTTAAGTTTGTTCGTTCGAGCACCTGCGTGCAGATCTCTGCGCTTCTGCAACAAGCGCACGCTCCCTCTGACTGGGAGGAGGGACTAGAAATGTCTTTATACAAACCAATCCGCCTGACTGACGGGGGCAACAGGCTTCAGCTTGACATGGCTACCTGCTTTTATTTGAGGCTAGGCTTCTGTTGTCTCTCACCCTCGTGAGTTTTCGATCTCTATAATGAAACCGGCATGGAATGAAAGATATTCATGATTATTCAAGTTTGGACAAAGGTATAGCCTAATTCCTGTTTGTCTTGTGCATGTTACATTCAAAGTTTCAACATAACATAAGAGCAGATTTTTAAATGTTCTATGGGCTGTTTAAAATGATTGCCCTCTGGTCATCCACCAGATAATCGTGTTGAAGACATTAATATGCTTTTAGTCAATAGAGAGACCATGAATAACAGCCCATTTGGGTATAAAGCTAACAACAAATATACCAATTTTGAATTACAAATTCAATGTCTTCTAGATCTTAAAGTAATACAGTTACTATCACTCAGCCAACAGACACTTTAAAATGTACACTCAGAAGGCACCTGAATTTGCTACAGGTAAAGTAAATCTCTATCTATCTAAAAGATGAGCAAGTAGATGATAACCCCAAAAAAACAAACAAAATGAATACACTTTCACAGCAGGGTCATATATAAAAGCCTCAGTGTTCAGGACTTTCAGCATCAGTTCCTCGGTAAGTTACAGTAACAGTTATATAATCACGATCTAAACATACTGTATGTTGAACAAGGACATAGATTTGTTTCACTGAGGAGGCAGGAGATAAAGTAAATCATTTAAATAATTTGTAGATAGTGAAGTTTGTTTCAGGCAAATGTCATATTCACCCAAGGGAATCTCAAAATAAAGCACTGTCCCTGCATGACTAATGTTGAATGCCACAGATGGAACCACTCATTCCAGCACATTCAGATACACATTTAAAATTAAGCTCGAGTTCAGGTCATATGCACGTAAGCAGCAGCAGACCAGTCCAAGTATCACCAAGCAGGAGACTGCTATTACCATGTGCACTGCGGGCCATGCACCTGGTGGCAGCCAGACCAGCACTGAGGAAATCTTAACAAAGGCAAAACAGCAGCATCTGAAGAGTCATAGATTGTTGTAAATATTTTCACAGTGATCCCATGCACAAGAAGCTAATCTACATACCACTCTGAGCTGAATGGTAGAATGTGGAGTGTGCACCTGCTGCATCCAGCTGCTCAACCTGGATGCAGAGCTACTTCTCCTTTTGGTTGTTTTTAGGCCTGAGGTAGACAATGTTTTGGCAAATTTTCACCACATACTGTACGGGAGAGTGGGCCAGAGTATAATCCCTTTCCTCCTCATTCTAATACAGCATAAAGCTACTGTATATGCTCCGCTGTCTCCACATGTCTACATTCCTATTGGGCTTTCTTATTAAGGCTACAGTTTTGTCAAGCTCAGTGTCTTAAAACAGATGCAATAAACTACCTACTCTCTTTCTCTCATTTCTAATAGTTTGTATCGCCACACTTTCTTCTGCAGCCGACACAGTGGTCGTCCTTTATTCTCCCAAAGCTGCTGTCATTTTCTTGTGAATAAAGTTATAACTATAGCTTTTGCCTTAAAGATGCAGTCAGTGATTGTCTTCAGACGCATTTTTTTTTAAATATTGTGGCAAAATGTCCCTAAACCCTAAAAGTAGTCAAGTTATAATGTAATCATGTGAATTGATTCCTATAGTCTCCAAAAATCAATACAAATATTTTGTTGTGGACCGATAAAAATAAATGATGGGATTTGTTCATCCCCAACAAACCAATGGGATGTGTTTACCCCATAGACTGTATATATTAACGGACGTAGTCACGCCTATCTCCGCCGTTCTAACTAATGGGACAAGAATTACCAAAATGGCCGCAAAAGGTCTCGCCCACAAGAAAATTGTGTGAAAACGCATCTGCGCATGTGTCAGCCGTCGAGAGCCCCATTCATTTGGGCAAATGCCTTCAAAAATTCACAGCGACTAAACCAGATTGGTCCAAAAAAATTCACCCCCCTCAGCATTGACACACATGTGGAACAGAGCTTTGGGCCAAGAGCCAACTTTGCTGGATGTTTGGTTTGGTGGAGAGGCGAGGGGAGGGGGAGTGGTTTCAAGTTGGTGCTACAGTACGGCTAAGCTAACAACATCGCTTACTGCCTCTTCAACTGAGGGCTACCTCCAAAACGCATTAATGCTTAAGGGATTGTTGTGACAAGCGATCATCCATTTCAATTCCCACAATCCCCCATCTGAGCTAGAACCTGAAAGTTCTGGAAGCCATAAAAAGCTTTAATTGTCCTGTACCCATTTCTTTTAACCTGATCAGATGTACCTCATTAAACAGATCCGGTCAGCTCTGCAATTAGAAGGATTGAAGGGAAGTTGTTGTTGTCAATGACGCTCAGCATGATTGAGGACATACTGAGAGGAAACAAAGAGTGAATGTGCCTGGATTTATAACTACTTTCAAATCAATGTGTATCTCAGTGTGTGGGGCTTCAGTTTGGAACGGATTAGCAGAAGATTTAAAACCATGTTCAACACTGATTGCATACTCTACATTATATTGTCAGAATGGACAGAGTGGGCATTGGTGTTTGTTATTATAGGTAGAAAAGGCCGGTGTGAGTATGATTTTGAACTTCTGGAGCAGAGCTAGGCAGCACAGCATGGAGCACACAGTGATCGGGCCGCAGGGAATGTGGACAAATCCAGGGATGAATGCACGGAGTCAGGCAGAGTGGACCAGAGGAGAGAGACCAGTGGCAGGAGGCTTCGTGGGGGATCTGGAGAGTGCAGCGGCAGCAGCCCCCCCCCTCCCCCGCTCATAGCTAAGTTGCTTAAATATTAGTTGGCGGTGGTTGTTTGGGTTGCTGTGCTTTTGTGAACTGGACTGTAACATAGAATACCATCAGTAACACACTACGCAGCCAGGGACTCAAATCCTGCAGTGTCAGATGTGTCCCCCTGCTTAAGCCAGCACATGTCCAGGCTCGGCTGAAGTTTGCTAGGGAGCATTTGGATGATCCAGAAGAGGATTGGGAGAATTCCTATGGTCAGATGAAACCAAAAGAGAGCTTTTTGGTAAAAACTCAACTATTCCTGTTTGGAGGAGAAAGAATGCTGAGTTGCATCCAAGGAACCCCATACCTATGAAGCATGGGGGTGGAAACATCATGCTTTGGTGCTGGTTTTCTGCAAAGGGACCAGGACGACTGATCCGTGTAAAGGAAAGAATGCATGGGGCCATGTTTTGTGAGATTATGAATGAAAACCTCCTTCAAAACGTGGCTGGGTCTTTCAACATGACAACGATCCCAAACACACCGCCCGGCAACAAAGGATTGACTTTGCAAGAAGCATTTCAAGGTCCTGGAGTGGCCTAGCCTGTCTCCAGATCTCAACCCCCCAACTCCAGATCCATGTTCCCCAGCGACAGCCCCAAAACATCACTGGTATAGAAGAGATGTGCATGGGGGAATGGGCCAAAATACCAGCAACAGTGTGTAAAAACCTTGTGAAGACTTACAGAAAACGTTTGAGCTCTGTCATTGCCAAAAAATGTATAAAGTGTTGTGATGAAATTTTGATATTGACCAAATACTTGTTTTCCACCATAATTGGGAAATAATTTCTTTGGAAATCAGAGTCTGATTTTCTGGATTTTTTTTCATTCTGTCTCTTATAGTTGAGGTATAACTATAACTATGATGAAAAAGTACAGGCCTCCCTTCTCTTTTTAAGTGGGAAAACTTGCACAATTGGAGGAGACTATATACTTTTTTGCCCCACTGCATGTGTCTGTTATTTTGTTATGTGAAATTGTTTGGTTCATGGAAGCGTTTTCATAATTCATAGAGGAAGGACTTAATTAACCTAAAGACACAGCAATAGAAGAAGCGGCAGAGACTCCTGTACACTGCATGAGAGGGAGAAAGTGCCACTAGGGCTTGAGTGGGCAGTGGGAGGCGGCTGCGTATGGGTGGCCAGGGCTTTCATCACCTCTTGTGGCTTTCATGATAATCATTATTAATACAAAAAAAAGTAATGTTGATATTATAAATACTATTACAATCATAAACTAATAACTAAATAACGTAGGGTATAGATTGGTTTTGTATTGTCGATTTACCAAAGTTATAATATAGTGAATACATCAGTTCTCAAGAGAGGCCAATCAGACTTCAGGGTTGGAATTGCTTTTCTCCTTTACATATATATTAAGCAATTGCAGTGTCATATAGGCGAGGCCTATTTGGCAAAATTTTAAAAACATGTCATTTTCTGCGAAACCTCTGGACTGTTAATGGTCCTGCGTGTGATGAGAGCACCACCTAGTGTCAACTGCAAACTGCTCACAGTGGAAGACCCACCATGCGCCACTTGCATTTAAACAAATACAGCAAATGATGTCACAAGTTTTAATACAGTCATGTCATTTTGATGAATGATTATAATTTGTAGATCTGAGAACAACTGCATCTGGGCTACAAAGTTGTGTCATGTTTAAACTAATTCAAGATCAGGGTGCACATTATTGTCATTATGATGATGGTGGTGGGTTTTTGTTTTGTTTGTCATTGATATTATGATAAAGCTCTTTAACCCAGAGACTGTAAGTTTGACCATTGCAAGTATATTGAGCACGTCATAAAAACGTGACCACGCTGAATGAACGAGCGGATACAAGGCTGAGATTCGGTGAAGAGGCGACAGGCTTTCTGAACAGAGGAAATTCTATTTTCTATTTAACCAAATTTGCATATAAAAGGGGCATTCGGAGAGACAATAAGGCGTTTATGAAGCGAAGTATTTGGATTGATTCAAAGCGAGGAATTATTGGCAGCTTTTCTGTGACATTTTATTTACATAACACCCGTCACCGTGCGTGCGTCGGCGCGTCCAGCTACACTTTAGTTTCATCGACCTATACTGAGCTCGACTCTCATCCGTCCTCACAACGAGTTTACGAACTACATCGCGTATGTATCTGAATCATAATCTGAATACATACATTTTTTCTATTCAGATAAACAAGTTATACAACGAGATGCCCCACTGCCTGTTTTAAGCGGTCCTAAAGCCCGCCGTGTTTGCATCCGCACCGCTGACCCCGCACTGTCTCGGTCCCAAATGCGTCTTTCGCAAAAAGCTTTGAAATTCTTCGACATAATGGAAAAGGTGCTGTTGGAGCAAGGCTAATTACTCTGTTGTCAGTTTGGCTACTCAGTTTTGAATCTATTTTTTTTTCCTCTGCTAGAACTGTCTAAAGCCAGAACACGAACGTGACCAAATACAGACTGCTAATAATATTCTTTAAAAAACTATTTGTCCAACTAAGTAATGGTCATTAATACGGTCCATTGGTTCAGGAAGGGCTTACGGCTCCACGACAATCCGTCGCTTAAGGACTCTCTGCTGGGAGCGGACACTGTCCGCTGTGTGTACATCCTCGACCCCTGGTTTGCCGGATCTTCTAACGTGGGGATCAACAGGTGGAGGTCAGTGGACCAGCCTCCTGCTCTTTGTTTATTTCGATTAGCAAAGTTAAAACAAATTGATGATGCTTGATAATCCATAATTGAGTATCCTCAATGTATTGTAATGGATGCTATTTCTATATAATGTAAATATATACCCTAGATCAAGGAACACATGCACAGACATGAAGCTGGACACATTTACACAATGTAAGAATTTGCTTCAATTGGCTGATTATTCTTTCAATTGCATGTTATTTTCATGCTTACATACTTACTATCTTCATGGTCATAATATCTTCATCACCACCACAAATTTCAATATAATTGTATTTAGGATTATTCTGTTTGCTGTGGTTGTCTTTCCTATTCAACATGATAAAACATAATTTTATTAGTCTATTCTTATAAACATGCATATGTGTGATTTGAGGTACAACACATTCTGAATTTGAGTCTGAGCTGCAGCAGTGATTTTGGCAACTGTTGCCTCTCTTGATGCAGTAACTAAGTAGTGTCATTTATTACACTTTGAGAAAGTAATTGGTAATGTGTGGCCCACCTGCATGTGAAAGTCTGGTCCTAGCAGCTCTACGAAAGCACTGCTCAGTACTTTAATGGGAGACCTTGGAACACCAGGGTCCATAGTTGGGCAGCTGCAGCTGTGGCCTTAGCAATAAATTTAACGTACCAGTACTACACGTGTGTATTTCATTGTTGTAGTGTAGGGAGATAATGCATATGCTTGACATCATCAACCTGTGTGGATGCGTGGGTAGCGCTCTGGTTCTGACCAAGAGCATCATGTTGTGCCTTGAAGGATGGCAGACATATGCAGAGCGCAAATTTCTCTTAGTGGATAACACAAGGTGATTAACAATTTTCTTATTATCTACAGCCATGCACAGGGTCAATGTCCATCATGCTAAATGAGTTTCAAAACTCATAATCCCTATAACCTCCCCTGCCCCCACATCTCTGCGTGTGCTGCATCTGGGCCAGTGTGTTAGTAGAAAACCCTCCTCTCCGGTCTGACCTACTTTTCCTCTCAATGAAAATAACATAGTGAAACCAGAGAGAACCATAGAAGTGTTTTTTTTTTGTGTTTTTTCTGCTGGTGATTGTCTTAAACAAACAATGCATGGTGCTGCCAAAGTGAGCGACTAGGGGTCTTTGCCCTCACCTGGGGATGTAGGCATCATTATCATTCTGTTTTCTATTCTTTTTACATTTGTGCACTTAGTGCAGCTGGTGTTGTTGCAAATGTGCTCTACAATTCAATTAGAGAAAAAAGATCAACATTTGTATGTCTGTATTTTTTCAGATATTTGATAATAAACAGATCTTAAACTCTCAATGGTGGTTCAGTTGGTAGAGCATTGGCCTTGAGCCTGAAGGTTGTGGGTTCGAGCCCACCACAAGACCTACTTCACGACTCCTCCCGATGACTGCTGTCGTTGTGTCCTTGGGCAAGACACTTAACCCACTTTGCCTGTAATGAGCACAGAAGTAGTTCGCTGCATGCCTTGATGTGTACTTATATGTGTTTGTGTATTCATCAAACTGAAATTTCCCCTCTGTGGGACGAATAAAGGACCTCCTTCTTCTAAAATTCTACCTGGTATTATATACACAGAGCTAGGATTAGTTGGCCAGTCAAAACACATTGACATTGTGGAATAAATTATTTAATTTATCATAAAGACGATGTTACAGACCTAATTTATCATACAATCTTAATGTTCTTTTTCCCAATTAATGTTCATTTTTTGCATAATTTTCTCCATAAACAAAGAAACCAGTAAGAAATCGATTACCGTTAAATACGTAATGCTCATTTTGGGTTTTATGGTGTGAACATAGCCAGTGCTTTTCCTGCTTTTCCTGCTGAAAGGTTGGAGTCAAAGTATACAGAATTATACAGGAAGCTTCCACCTACAAACTATGAGTAACTATAGCAACCACACAGGAAGCAGCTCATTACTGCCACTTTATTAGAATTCATTGACATCCCTAAAGTGATGGATGGTTTAATGTGTGAGTCAGACTTTTTTCCTTCTTGGCCTAGGTAAGGTAATGCGTGTTCAAATAAGTATGACCTGTTAAACAAAGAAACGGCTTCACCCAACACAAAGCTTCTCAACGTCCAGTCAGCCTTCAGTATTCCCATTATTACTTGAAATCATGTAATAAATTGCAAATTTATGATAACCTTTGAGCAACAGGGTGGCTGGGTGTATAGAACTCTCGCTTCTCAGCAAGAAGGTCCTGGGTCTTTTTGAGTGGAGTTTGTATGTTCTTCCTGTGTCTGTAGGTTTCCTCCAGGTGCTCCGGTTTACCCTACCACTAAGAACATGCACAATCGGTATGAATGTACTGAGTGAGTGAATGGATGGTGATGAATGGAGGAAAATAAAACAATATCTGAACTCTGAACATTGTAAAGTGGTTTGGGTGACCTTTTGATTAGATTACTTACTTTGTTTGATTCTTTTAGGTTCCTGCTCCAAAGTCTGGAAGATTTGGACTCAAGTCTTCGCAAATTAAACTCTCGACTGTTTGTGATCCGGGGCCAGCCCACTGATGTCTTTCCCAGACTTTTTAAAGTAAGTTGCATTTGAATAATGTGTGCTGGGCTGGATTAGGAGCTACAATTGTCACTTTTTTTTTTTTTTTTTAAGGAGTGGAAGATTTCTCGTCTGTCTTACGAATATGACTCCGAGCCATTTGGGAAAGAGCGAGATGCAGCTATTAAAAAGCTGGCCACTGAGGCTGGAGTGGAGGTGACAGTGTGCGTCTCTCATACGCTCTATGACCTGGACAAGTATGCTTACTTTGTTGTTAATATGTTAAGGTACATGTGTGTGTTCTCTCTTAACTGGTTCTTTTTTGACTCTGAAGGATTATAGAGCTGAATGGAGGTCAGTCACCGCTCACCTACAAACATTTCCAGACCCTCATCAGCCACATGGACCCAGTGGAGGTCCCTGTAGAAACCATAACGGCAGAGGTCATGGGCAAATGCACTACACCACTTTCTGAAGACCATGACGACAAGTTTGGGGTCCCGTCTCTAGAAGAGCTTGGTGAGTCAATGTTTGGAAGAGTCGTCAACGAAAAGATGAGATGAGAGAACTGTTAGGATTTAGGCAGACAGAGACGGATCGTGGTGTGCCAAACTCTGGAAGTTTATTTATGTTTCTCTCAAGTTCCACTGGTTTATTCTGTTTCTTTCCCTCAGACAGAATAAAGGCAGTACACAGTTTATATAGTCATTGTCACGTCACACATCGAAAGACATACGTGTCACAAAGAGACAGTCACATCATAGTCATAACATGGAGTCCTTGTAGAGTCCTTGTACAGTCCTGCACGTAGGCCATATTGCTATCTAATACTAACACTCTCCCCTTTGATCACATAATCACATGTGATCACTCAAATCGATCAATCAATAAAATGGAAAAAGAAAAAAAAAAAAATTCCAAAAAAACTTAAAAAAATTATTAAAAACAAAGAAAATGTATGCATTACACTCATAATCATCAAATCAATATCAGTGGATTTTATCCTCTATCCTGGGAAAAAATAAAAAAATAAACAAACAAATCAAAAATAAAGTAAATAAATAAACAAAAAACAACAAAAACAAATCAAAAATAAAAACAAACAAACACTATTGGACACAGTAGAACTCAGCAGATTCAGTCAAAACACAGACAAAAACGAGCTGAGTCTCAAATTTGAAGCTAATTTCACTTTTCTTACTTTATACTTTTATTCTAATGATAATTGTTTACACTACACTCAATCTTATTTCACTGTATTATTATCACTTTTTAATCTTAGACTGTGTACTTTACTCTCTATTCACTATAGTTTAAACTATTCTAATCTATTTACAAATATGTTTGTATATTTGCTTCTATTGAGCCATATTCTTAAACATACATTTTAATCTAATACATCTCTCTGTGGTTTTATACTCTCATTATCAGTTTGGGATGAATGTACATCTTTAATCAAATTAGTATTATCATTACAAGAGCTAATCTATTTTAGCAGGTTTGGGGTTGGGGTCAGTTATTCTACAATGGTGTTTGTGCTGGAAACTTCTCAATATCTAAATATCTACTATTGTGTTTTTGTGCTATACCCCAATACATCAAAATGCTTTTAAATGCTTTTGAATCTCTGTTGGTTGTAATCTATCTCATTGATCTAGGCATTAATCTAGACTACACTCATATGAACTTTTGCATTGTCAACATTCACTCATGTTTGAACACAAGTGAATTTGGAAGGTATCTAATAAAACTGTACATAAACTGTAATTAACTTTATCTACTTTTGAAGTAAATGCTTGTGAAATGGTCCCTTTACCATTTGATATTAGCACTGGCTACAAATAATCTCTATTTTTGAAAGCATCGATGGTTGATGCATTTATCTACTCCTATTTTTACTCTATTTTTTAACTCCAAAGCTCGGTTGCAGCTAGAGCCAAGGCATATTTCTAGTTTGTGACTTCTGTCACTTTTAATATCTCTAAAATACTCTGATTCTAATATTATAGCTGATCTATCAAAAGGATAACATTGTAGGGTACTATTTTAACTCTTACGTGGAAATATGTTTATGAAAAACAAAGGAAGTCAAATTCTACTCTTTTACTACTATTTAACATCTACTAAAACGCTACAACACTCATACTTTATCATTTTCAAAGTTTTTGTCTGTCAGATGTCTGAATACTTAACATGTATATTGCATTTGTCACAGGTTCTGGTTGTAGCAATAGCATCGGCAATAGACGTTTTCATTGGCTGGTTCTTGTTCCGCAAATGGCTGTGTCCAATAGATCATCAGATGTCCAGAAGCTAGGGACAAACAAAAACAAAAGAAAGAATCATGAGTATCTCTCTCATTTAGCACTCATCAATGTATGATTTCAAAAATATAAACATCACTCCCCAGTTTTCTCTCTCAGGTCCTCAGGTCCTCAGGTCCTCAGGTCAGGTCATACTCCGAGAGATGTCATCTTGGTCATCAGTAGGGTCCAAGCCATGGTTCTGGTCACTCCAGATGCACATCAGATCTCCAGATACAGTCTTTTCAGTTGAAGCACATCAGGTCATTTGCGATGCACTTCTGGTCAATGGTGCAGTGTCTCAGTTCCTGTACACAGCTTGTTATGCAATAGTTACTCTCTATGGTTAAGTCACTTTGATTCTACTTTAACACAATTTCTATTCATGCTGTTGCTAATGTCCCTCAGACAAAAAGCAAGCGCAGTTTACTTCTCTAATTTGTGTTTTTATCAGATCTAATTCTAATCAATGTAATTACTTCACACAGTACAAAATCAACAAATCAAAAGTGTCAGGACAGACGTCAATTAAGTCCATGACAATATAGAATTCAAATGAACATTTCTGGTCTCAAAAAATACTGATTCAACTAAAGATTCAAGTGATAGACAATTAAAAATATGTGTTTACATTGGAGTAAACTTTTAAAATGCTTTTTTCTCATGTTCTGCTTTTTCATGTATCTATATGTAAATGTGTGATTGTGAGTGTATGTGTGTATGTGTGTGTGTATATGAATTTTGGGGTTGTGTCTCAAGACTCCTCGAACCACCTGTAGGTCTCAAAGGTCACACTGTGGTGATGTAAACCACGTAGACACACTTTCAACTCCCTCTAGGTCTCTACCTGACGCTCCACCCATCACGTCTCCAGATACCTCTCTTTCATGGCCCCGGTCTCTCTCACACCCACTCAGCTCTGCAGTGGCGTGGGGAGGGGCAAGGAGGTGGCATTTCCTTTTGCTCTTTGATCTGTGACCTGTGGCTGGGTGGGCTTTGCGCTGTCCAGTGTCCAGCAGTCCAGTGACCCTGTACAGTGTGTGCTCTTGGTTCTGGAAAACAACCTTATAGTCAAATTAAAAACAACAGAGATTGTGAATGAGATTGTTTTTCTCTCTGAAGTCTAAACAATTTTGAAGCGCTCTTGGCTTTCCCAAGCGCTATGTAAATAAAAGATTACTTATTATCTTACTAATGATGACATTTGAAGACCAGAAACTAAAGAAGTTATCAAAACAACAATTATACTCAAAACAAACAACCTTTTAAACTTTAAAACATGTATTATATACTTTTGTACTGTGTGATGTTTTTAATCTTGAACATCTTGGGTTTCACTTTATGGACTTTCCCTTTTACACTTATTTATCTCAGCATCTATTCTACTAATTTAAAATAATTGCAGCATTTTTCAAATGAAGTCAGTATGAATTGGAGCACATTTTAGACCAGGCTCCTGTGCTGCGTGCATCTGCAGCAGGAGGAAGGTCAGGTGCATAGTCAAAACAAAAACAAAAGTCACCACTTGAATGTGAATTGGGTGAATTGGGTAGTTTAACTTAATAATATAATACTTTTACAGCCTAATTCCCTCTTTCTTTTTTAGACGAAGTCTACAATCATTAATCACTTTTAACAGATTCTAATTTAAATGTTTGAAAAACGGCTTTTGTAACTAAAATAAAAAATAAAAACAAACACAACTCACAAAAAGTTAAGAAATAAGCAGCAGATTTAAAAAGAAAAGCACAGCTTTTTGTACTAATCTCTGGGTTTCAAAAACATATAATATTCAAAACTTATTCACTAATGGTGTTTAAAAACGTTTAACTGTGTCATAACACAATGTTCAATGGCAAATTTCGCAAATTTAACTGAATAACAACTATGAAAAGCCTAAATCCTAAAGCAGTAGCTTTGCTTCAGATTCACAGCCAGAGCAGCGAAGGAGGGGGCCGTTTCCCTGACAACGGCAGCAAGATAGAGATGTGCACACACAGGCAAAAAGATACAGAAGAATAACTTTCAAGATTACTTTGTTAAGCGAATATAACTGATGTTGTTCTTTATACTTTTGTCATCCAAATCTAGAAGTGATCACTTTCCACACTAGTAACAAAAGGCACTCTTATCTTTAACGTACGCTTCTATTTTATCGAGGTAGCAAACTAATTTAAACTCAAAATCTCTTTCTAAAAAACAAAAACAACTGTTGGATACATCCCTCTCATAGCTCAACTGTAGATAAAACTCGGCAAAAAATGTAAATAACTCACGAAAGCTCTCATAGCTCAACTTTAGATAAAACTCTGCATTCTCCGTTCACGCCAAAAACAAACTAAAAAACAAAAAACTCCCTTTTTCTGTATGTAATTTAAACCGTGATCACTGAAATATTGTTGCTTCTTTACTTTTGTCATTTATCAGCCTGAAATTCGTCAATTTCAAAGCTTTTGTAACAAAGGCCTCCTTAACACGTTTCCCTTTTTATTGCTTTTATGTTTACACCATGGATTCACTAACTATTTTCTATTCTCTATTCTCTGCCCCGGCTACTCCAAAGGCAGGGACCCCGATACGTCAGGGGTTCCTTTCTCTCTGTCCTGACTACTTCAAAGGACAGGGACCCCGATACGTCAGGGGTTCCTTTTTCTCTCTGTCCTGACTACTTCAAAGGACAGGGACCCCGATACGTCAGGGGTTCCTTTTTCTCTCTGTCCTGACTACTTCAAAGGACAGGGACCCCGATACGTCAGGGGTTCCTTTTTCCTATAGGGACTGGTTACCCACACAGCTAACCTGTTTTCTACAACATAAGACATGACAAAGACGTGACAAAGACACAACAAAGAAAATTTGATTTAGAGAGATTTGGACAGACCTCCGGGACAGCTCAAAATTTAGCTAGTATCCAATTATGCAGACTTTACATATTAAAAAAGGTGTCTGCTTACCTTAATTCTTTGTCCGGACTGTTCGAGAGGTCGACCAACATCTTTTCCGCGTCGAAAAATTCAATTTAAAAAACAAAAGTGACAGAAGCGACAAGAAGCATCCAGGAACAGCTCTTCCAGCCTGCTGGAATCTCCGCTCCCAGACACAGCATGCCGATCTCTCACGCCGAGGAAAAGAAACAGAGCAAGCTCGCTCAAAACAATCCAGAGAATGGCACAAACTGAGCCGCGCATTCTCCACCAAATCTGTTAGGATTTAGCAGACAGAGACGGATCGTGGTGTGCCAAACTCTGGAAGTTTATTTAAGTTTCTCTCAAGTTCCACTGGTTTACTCTGTTTCTTTTTCTCAGACAGAATAAAGGCAGTACACAGTTTATATAGTCATTGTCACGTCACACATCGAAAGACATACGTGTCACAAAGAGACAGTCAAATCATAGTCATAACATGGAGTCCTTGTAGAGTCCTTGTACAGTCCTGCACGTAGGCCATATTGCTATCTAATACTAACAGAACCTTTTATTCGTTATTCTCACTGAGGGGAAATTTCAATGTTGCAGCGCACATACAGGACAGTAGTAAGAGCACACAAAATATACAAGTATCGGCTATGTTTCTTAGCTAGCTGTAAATGCTGCAATATAAATATATCTCTGTATCTATCTAATTAGTGCAAAGTTTGATACATATAGGGCAAGATAAAATGACATGCAGTGGACTTTCTGAAATTGCAGTATTGCACATGATTACAGTATTTACCATTTACAGACGAATGACATGTACAGGCTCAGCAGTTTTCCAAAAATCCACGCCTAATCCACATATACATTTCTATACAATTGCAGGTTTTGATATTGAGGGTTTATCTTCAGCTGTGTGGCCAGGGGGTGAGTCTGAGGCTCTCACCCGGCTTGAGAGGCATTTGGAGAGAAAGGTTGGTAACATAATTAATTTCTCTAATATAGACATAATACAATTATATCCAAAAAATACTTAAATTTGTTGCTATTAGGCATGGGTTGCCAACTTTGAAAGGCCCAGAATGAATGCCAACTCGCTCCTCGCCAGCCCAACAGGACTCAGTCCCTACCTACGTTTTGGATGCCTCTCCTGTCAACTTTTCTACTTTAAACTCACTGATCTTTACAGAAAGGTACAGAAGAGACATTTATCATTTATTTCTTTGAGTTTGTTATTAATGTCATCATGTGTATTTCCTAATTTTTCTTCCAGGTAAAGAAGAACAGTTCCCCTCCTCTTTCACTCTATGGCCAATTGCTTTGGCGAGAGTTTTTCTACACAGCAGCCACCAACAACCCCTGCTTTGACAAAATGGAGAGCAACCCCATTTGTGTTCAAATTCCTTGGGATCGTAACCCAGAAGCACTGGCCAAGTGGGCTGAGGGGCGAAGTGGGTTCCCCTGGATTGATGCTATCATGACCCAGCTGCGACAGGAGGGTTGGATCCACCATCTCGCCAGACATGCAGTCGCTTGCTTCTTGACCAGAGGAGACCTGTGGATCAGCTGGGAGGAGGGCATGAAGGTCAGCATTGTTAGGGACAAACTACTCTGATTCATATTCATTTATTTGCAGTAAAACCACATTAGAAAACATTTGCAAAACTGTTATTGGCTAAAACAGTTTCAATACAAGTGCAAGATCATTAAAGTGCTCTGTTTAAACTGATAACAGCTTGTGGGAAGAAGCTGTTAGCATATCGAGATGTCCTGCATCTTCGTGAACAATTTCTTCTGCCAGAGGGAAGAAGCTGGAACATGGCTTTTCCAGGGTGCCCAGAAGAGTCATTGATTATCCTAAGAGCTCGGTTTAAAAGTTTGGATTTATAAAGAACCTCCAGAACAGGAAGCTCACAGCTCACAGTCCTCTTTACAGAGCAGAGCACTTTGTTTAGAGCTGTTGCTGTTATACATTGTGTTTGTGAAGTCCTGCAGTTCATGTCTGTGCGTGCTTGTGCAGGTGTTCGAGGAGCTGTTGCTGGACGCAGACTGGAGCGTGAACGCCGGCAGCTGGATGTGGCTGTCGTGCAGCTCCTTCTTTCAGCAGTTCTTCCACTGCTACTGTCCTGTGGGCTTTGGTCGACGCACAGATCCAAATGGAGATTACATAAGGTGTGAAGACTAATCTACATAGCATTTGGATGATTCATGTCTTTTTCAGAAATTATCTTGAAGATTGCTATTTTATTTTATTCCTTATTTTTTTGTATGTTCCCGCCACCACACCCCCAAATCTTGGGAGGTCAGCTTCATTTTTATTTCAATTAATCATCACAGGAGTGAGGGAGGGGCTATACAAGACAAAGTGAATGGAGGACAGGGAAAAGAGAAAAAAAAAAGAATAGGGAGAGAGTAAGCAAATTTGTTGAATTGCCCTAAAACACAATGAAACTAATAAAATACATAGTTGAGAGATAATGATAATAAAAATATTAGAACTAAAATCATGAATAATAAAATACTAAAGGTTAAAGAGTGGTGTGTACCTGGATATTTGTGATGAGGTGTATGGTTAAGTGTGTGTGGCGATTGGCTGAAGATAGCTATTTTCACTAAAAAATACCTAATTTCTTTTATTTTTTTACTCAGACGCTATCTACCCATTCTCAGAGGATTTCCTGCCAAATATATTTATGATCCTTGGAATGCACCAGAGAGTGTCCAAAAGGCAGCCAAATGCATCATTGGAGTACATTACCCCAAGCCCATGGTTCATCACGCAGAGGCCAGCCGTCTCAATATCGAGCGGATGAAACAGATATATCAACAGCTGTCCTGTTACCGAGGCCTTGGTAAGACACATCACATAGACAGTAAAACGCCTGAATGCTGACTCAAACGTATTGGCGTTTTAACTACACAGGTTTGTTGGCAACTGTTCCATCAAATTCCAACAACAACGGTAATGGAGCCCGAGAAAACGAGACCAGCAGCGGGAGAAAGAATACAGACGCGTCCTTGGATGTGTGTTACGCTGGCGAGGCCTCTCATTCTTCTACAGCCGCAAGTGGTAAGTGCATTCTGAAGGTTGAGGTTAAGTCATATTCTCTTTTATAGTGTGTGTGTGTGTAAAAAGTATTGTTTTGTCAGGGTACCGCATGCCAACCCACTCCCAGGGCGATTGGCAAAGTGGTGTCAAGATGTACTCTCCAAACGACGCACAAATGAGTGTCTCGACGCAGCAGCAAAGTGAGCGTTGCGTTTTTGTCTCTGCCGTTTCTGCCATAACATAACAGAAAGGATTGGTGATGATCAGGACACTTTAGCATTCTACAACATGTATGGACATTTTCTTCTGTGTGTGCTTTATATTCTTCATGTGTTTTAACTGTTGATTCTCTGACCTGTGTTGGTGATTTCAATGGTTTTGTTAAGTCCTCTGAGATGACTTCTGTTGTGACCTAGGGCTATACAAGAATAAATTGTATTGTAACAGTTGTTTTAAAATGTAATTGTCCATCTCAAAGGTTATGCAGCGGCAGGAACCAGCATGATGTGTTACAAACAAAGCACTATTATTCAAAAGGGTGAGTTCATTGTGTGTTTTTATCAGTGTTGAAATGTTTTTTGCATTCTAATGTGAATAATGTGTGCCTTTTGCAGGGGCCGAAGAACAGGGAAACTTTCAAATAAGTGGAAAAAGACACGGTGAAGGAGCGGATAACAACAAGGCTTCAAAGATCCAGAGGCTCTAGGTTTGTTTTATTCAGTTGTTTTAATATCTAATTCAAAATGCATGACTTTTGGGGCAATGTTCTTACATTTAAAAAAAAAAAATAACCATTCGTTACTTCTGTTTGTCTATTTTCAGAATTTAATCCCAATGATTCTGACAATTGATGATACATTCAGGGACGGAGAGACTAGTACTCTGGGATAATTTGTTTGATGATGTTCAGATTAAAAGCTGTTTATGTTGAATTTGCACATTTTCTGTTCACATACAATGTGTGTATATATATTTGAATATTGTATGTTTTTTTGTGTGTGTAGCATAGACCAATTCTATTTTTGATATGACATGTGTTTTTCCCCAAAAGTTTTACATCATAATAAATACTTGTGAAGTGTCATTTAAACAAGACGTTTTTTGTCAATGCAGCTATCCACCTGTCCACCTGACATGGATCTAACCAGCGTTGTATCCATATCTCAGAACTTCTGAAATAGATTCAGGACATCTCTGATGTCATCTCTGACATAATCATTTTGTATCATTCATAAACATCCAAACATACTTCGATTTTCAAGTTTTGTGAATTTTGTAGATAATAAATTTGTTTAAGTACGAATGAAGTTTGTTTATTTAAGGGACCGCGTGTAGTTAAATTAAAGTTGGCTACACCCAAAATATTGAACATGCTTCTGCTTCCTTACAAAAACTAAAAAATACATAAGACATTTTACGAACTGATTTATTGCTGTGTTAATTACGCCAGTAATACTGCATGGAAAGGAAAACAAATCTGTTGGAAAAAAAGAAGTACAGTACATTTGAAAGCAGTTCCTCAAGAAGAGGTGAAACCTCAGGTGTTGATTTGTACAGCACGCAAATAGCTTTAACTACTTGGTAAAGACCACATTGGAAGCCCTTCAAATATATTCCATTTGGTTGTTTTTGCAAATGTAACCATGAAAAATACATGAGTTTGCTTAAAAGGCAAAAAGGATTTTTTTTTTCCCAGGTAGCTCATCAAGACTATTGGTCCTCCTAATCGTCAATCATCCTGGAGATCAATTCACTTCCAGTAAAAGTAATCTACGTCTTTATTGTCAGACCCTCGCGCATGTTTCTGGCACACATTTTAGAGGGTGGAGAGGTGGCCGGTCTTTCCTAAAATTCTGGAAAATCCTCCTTTATACCTTTAATGATTCTGCAAATATGCTGACAACATTGTTGATGAGACAAATGAAACAAATATATTTGTCACTCCTTCATAGACCATAGAGGACAAACTGCTTATGGCAATGTCTTTTGCTGTTTTTGTTGCAGCAAGGCACAAGTCATGTCAAAATCTCTCTTCGACCTCACAATGATTTCCAGGCTGTTGCTATGAACGTCATATCCACAGGAGGCCAGCTTCTGCATTCGGTACCGCACCATCTGAGTGCTCATCTGCAGAACAGCTGGAGTCTCTTTGATCTGCTCTGTGCCCAGTCCTATGTCCATCATCCCGTAGAACCTCTCCACCATCGTTGCCAAGGACAGCGACAGTATGGCAGGACAGCAGATTACTATCTGTTTCAACTCCTCTTTGGAACAGTCCAGGACTTGTTTGAAAAAGGACATCACTTGGTGCATGTTCTGCAGTTGCATCTCTGCCATGGGAGCTCTGAGGCCCACACTGAGCATTTCATCATTGGTGAAGCCCTGATCTGTCAGAAAACACAAACCGTCTCTCCAAACTGCAGCGGGCCACAGTAGGACGAGAGGGTTCTGACCTAGAAGTGTTTGCAGCCACACTCTCAGGTCACGCTCATTCCCTCCCAGTTCCAAGTATGTTTCCCTTAAGGTGTGAATTACTTCCTTATTTCTCTGCACAGATTGACTCAAGCTCTGAGGGGCACAGGCGATCACTTTACCAATAATTTCATTGCATAAGCCAAGGCGCTGGAGGTAGGTAATGTTGGCATGTTGGTTTTCATAGTGAAACCTCATGAAGAAAGCCGCTGGGAACTTCTCAATGATCCTGATCAACTGGTCCTCACTCGCGCACACAGACATCCACAAGTTTTTCCGAGCAATGATGTCCTCTGGCCGGCTCAGAATGGCCTCAGGGTGGTTTTGCATAATTGAGGCGATTACAGAAGCATGTGCGCCCATGTCTTCCAGTATTTCTGCAGTTTCACTAACATATGCGGACGTTTCAGATAATACCCAGCTTTTGTACTTTCGCACCTTGCCGATGTCCAAAGAGAGTTTGTAGAGTGCCTCGATTGTGTCCTGGTTTTCTAGTCTGTTGTTGGTGGAGGTGACTTTAGAAAAAGGTGCCACGTGGTTGAAAGGCAATTTTATCCTCTGGCAGGATAAAAGTGCACAATTACTGCCAAAAGAGGAGGCCATGACACGCAGCATTGTGGCCAGCGGCAGTGTGTCTGTTTAAACACAGAAAGAGAAGGTTCCATAAGAAATATACAATCAACAACAATAATAATAACATGGGTTTCTTTATTCTATTCTCAAAGACGCTTGAGATTATTCATTGACTGCAGTATTATTATTGATACAGTATGTATGACCACAGCTGTCCTGAGATAGACAGAAGCAAGGATGGAATTCTACAACACAGAACCCCTGACCACCCCAATCATCATGCACACACCAGATTCAAACATGGTTTTGACCAAGGGTTTAACATCACAAAAGCCAATTTACTGTCATTTTAAAAATATGTGTTGACTGACAGCATTTTTCTTCTTCTATCCTTTTATTAGGACATTTTATTGTACATTAATACAACTTTGGCATGTATCTTGTCCCTTTTTTATATATGAACAGTAACACAATACTTGCTTTAACTTAAACACTGAGATATTAAACAATAATAGAGTGATTACACTGATATTGAATTGAAATCTGATCTAAGAGGAGAAACAAATCTTTTCCAGGATTCTCAAAGTTTGTCAAATGTCTCCAATTCAAGTTTCATGAAACATTTTCCATTATATAAATCATAAATTGTATGGACAATATCAAACCATTCATCTAGTGAAGGGACAGTGTCGAATGAGCCATCTCCTTTTGATACTATAGACTATAGAGAGTATATGGTAAATACATTTTTTCATACGTCATGCTCTGTTCCTTGTTTTTTTTTGTTTTACCAAGGAACAGTGTTGTAAAATTGTGCAGTACACACTGCATATTTGTAAACTCTGTTGTTATAAACACACAAGGAGAACAACGTGTGCTGAATGCACCATGTGACGTACATGACGTACGGTACATAGGAGTGCGTTGCAAATGTTGGAGAGGAAACAGACTATTAAATCACTCAGCCTGAGAGGGCACAGAACTTAAGTATATACTGCATAGGGCTAAGCACGCATATGCATTCAATATAAAGAAGTAAAAATGGTTTTACCAGCTGAGCTGTCCCACCGCCCTGCGCTCCGTTGGACACACCCACCCTTGGCTCTTCTGAGGTCAGACAGAGAGGGGCGGGGCTTAGAGAGACCCGGACGTGAGGTACACTTTTTATAAAGATCCATTTCTGCATGTGATGGAATATAATCCATACAGTCAATGGATGGAGCCATCTGCCATGAATCTGTTAAAACCATATCAACGAGCCGCACATGTGATGCCGTATCTTATGACATTAACAGAACAGATATAGCATTTACAAAAAATCTATAATGTGGCATAATATTTTGTCATTTTGGGGTATCCGTTATATTATTTATCACGGAGAGTATTAAGTAGAAGTCCAAATGTAAGGGTTTATCATACAGACAGACAGTTTTGTCAATACATATTTGATACCTTTATCCACAAGAGGTCACTCTCACATAAAGAAAGAGAAGGAGGTTGCTCGGTTTCATGCATGGATCTATTATAATAGTTTCATGCTGGGTTCAGGGAGATCACAGTTGCAAAAAAGATGTTGGCTACAAAGTGGAATCCCCCCATGGATGTATTATGAATCCCCCTCACTCACTGTTGTGCATCCACGGCACTAATGAGAACACTCAACCTGTGGAACAACACAATAAACAACTCTTTGAGTTAATTTTATTTTTGTTCAAATTGTTTATACTGTTTATTTGATTTGTGTTGATGCTTTTTGATGAATAATAAAAAGCTATACAGCTATATAAACATAGAAAATGCGATAGGTCAATAAATAAGTCATGGTGTCTTGAAGAGAAAATCCTATTCCATGAAAGTTTCCACAACAAACATGACAATATTTTATTGGCATTTATGTCCAACTGAAAATTTGTGTTTGATTTTTCTTCTCATAAAAACTCAAAAGTAAGTCATGCATAAAATTTCAGCTGTAGAATACTTGTTGTGACTTTGTTTTGTTTTTTGTTTTTTATTGTGACGTCGTGATGTTAAAATGGTGTCCTGTTTCCACCAAGCCCCGGCGATCCAAGATGGCGCCCTATTCAAATGAATGGTTGTGCTCAGTGGCGCTTTGTGACAGCATGGGGGCTGAAATATTAGCGGAAGTCGCCTGGAACTCGCAAAGATCTATGGGAAACTCGCCTGTATTTGGGCATCGTCTGGTCCTCCCGGTTCTGCGCAGTGGATGATCTCCCATAATGCGTTGCGCCAAACACGCGTGTGTGGGTCTCACACCGGGTCTCACGCACGTGCACAGAGGGGCTCGGCCGCGCTCTGACCAATCAGAGCAGTTCATCAGAGCGGGAGTTAGAGTGAGAGCCAGACGAGCAGAGTTTGTGGCACTAAAGTGTGGATTTAAACAAAACCGAAGGATTTAAGAAGAAAAAAAGTTCAGGATGACAAGGGACACTAAAATCCCCACAAAATCCGACCTTTATGAAAGCTGTAGGTTCTCTGTCAGCTGAGGTTGAGCTGTTTTAATATGCATTGAGTTCTATGGGGAAAATTTCTGGGTAGCCCACGTGAATTTAGTCTGGTTCAGTCTGCAGTACCGCGAGAATCCCCTGAGCACATGAGTTATTCAGCTACAAGCTAGTAATACCCTATCCAGTTATTATAATAGATCCATGGTTTCCACATACACAAAATGAAAATCGTGTTCAATTCTCGCAAATAATCTTAACATGACTGTTGTCCACTTCATCCATTTCTGGGAGAGGGGGTGGCAGTCAGAGCTGCACACTCAAAGCACCAGCCCCTCACTGATCCTCCTGCAGGTGCTGGGTCCACAGGAAGATGGCTTCTCCGTCATCAAAGACATAGCCTTGGTCTTTCAGCAGGGGCTTCAGGCAAAGTGGGGTTAAGCGTCCTGCCCAGGGACACAACAACAGCGGACATCAGAAGAAGCAGGTGACATGGGTCGTGGGGAGAACGTTTAGAATAGAATATATAAGAGAGACCATAGTAATCTATACTATCAATGTATGTGCAAGTTTTTCAAAATAATTTTAAGTGGAATAATTGGGGTAATGGTAGCCTGGCTATAGCCATCCGTACACTCTGCTCAATCATTATTTCACTGCATGTAACCGTCTGGGTCTGGTCCCTGTGTTAGCGAATACAATCGGTCGTATTTCGACCGGCTACTCAGAGCGCGGAAGGCGGGTGTTGTAGGTCGGTGCCGGTGACGTTAAGAGTTTGCGCCGAACGGGCAGGTTGTAGTTTGGCAATGGTGAAGAATGCGATAGTAAAGTAATCCGGTCTGGTTCTATCAAGAAATTGAAGCAGGAGCAAGAGGAATGTTTAGCAAATGTAATCCACTGGTCAAGATTGTGGCGCTACTCCCCACGGGCTCCGTTAGCGGCAAAGGAGATGGCTAGGCTAAATGCTAAATGCTAACAACACACTTGGGCGCATTACGTCACGGTAAACTCAGATCCAATCGTTTCAATCTGCAAAAGGAGTTAACTCCTCCCATCTGTTCACGGATCTCAATGGAGCACCTCCAGACCTTAGTATGAAATGTAATTTGTACTAAGGTGTGGTACAACCAGGCTAGGGTAATGGGGGAGTTTTTGGGTCTTACAAAAATGAGACCTGCACTGGATGAATGTACATACCTGATCTCTATATATTCTGCTCTAAGGTTTGCTGTACATACTGTAGTCTCATATCTATCAAAATAGCTGTTTGGCCTGCGCGTGTGCGAGTGGGTGTTACAGCCCTATAGTCAGATCATATTCATTATTATTCATATTCATATTCATCCATCCATCCATCCATCCATCCATCCATCCATTCTTTCTGTTAAACTCCCCTCTTTTTGACTGGGGATTACAGGAGAACAAAACTAGCTAGAAACCGATTACTTATTATTGCTCCTTATAGTAGACAGTCCAGTCTTTCAGAATCTGGTTTCATATTTCATATAGTCACAGCACATAATATTCTGTGGGTCTTGAAAGTCTGTGAAATCATCAAAAACGGCAGGCAGTCAATGAGTTAATATTTCTTTCATGAAAGCCATGACGATGAGCCTGCGGGTGTACAGCCATTTGAGCCTGCTTGCAATTTGTATTACTAATTTCTTTAAGTTTTCCCATTTCCAAGCTTTACCGGAAATGTTGTAGAAATCCATCCATTACTATTTATCTTGCCAACATCCCAGATAGATGTCCATGTGTCTTTGTGTAGCTACAAACAAGAGGTATTTATAGTCTTGGTAATTTGTTGTTTCACTTTGGTGATGGACACAGTTGTTCCCCATGTGCCTTGATGACTGTGACCACCTGCTGTCTTAATGTGCTGTAAAAGCATGCTTCAGTAGACCCTAGTCACAAAGAATATTACCATCGGCATTCATTTCTATTTAGTTGTCCACTAAATTTAGGCCCATAATTAGCTATATTATCCTTCACATACAAAATGACTTCCCTGATATAGACCACCTAATCTTTCACATAGGCTACAGAACATGTTAGAAGGATCACATCGTTATCTTTATCCATATAGATTCCGTGTGGGACTTAAGTTGGGATTCTCAGACACTGCATGACACCTGTCTGCGCATGTTAACCCCAAAATGGATTCGTTTTTGTCTTGACAATAGCCTAATTCCATAAACACATCCAAATTTCTTCAACAAGCTTATTTTCCCCTTGCTTTTAACCCAAGAGTTTGGGACGTTTTAAAAAGATATAGCGTAATGTATTGATGTGTATAATGTAAAACCCAAGACAGACTTTTATTTATACATACTAAAAGTTTCAATGTGTAATGAAACATCTTCATAATTTTTTCCATTTAAGCCCAGTCCAGTTTGGTGTTTAAATGTACAGCATAGCGTCTCCTAACAATACAATTTCTTTATTTTCTTTTAGTTCACTTTTGTGTTTTGAACAAAATAAAAGAACCGCTGTATTTGAACTGTGGCCTTTCAACCTGGCTGTATCAAAAATATGTCTTCATCGAGCATGATTGAGAAGCGGTAGTACAGAGTAAGGAACAGTTTCCAAGGTTTTAGAATGTGGGTTTGAAAAGGACACGTGTTTGAGTGCATCTGTTGTGTATCTGAAATAGTCTGTCAGCCTGTAAATACAAAGGAATGAGGAGCAACAGGGTCCAGGGAGAAGTCTGTGTGAAAGGACTTGATGATGGAGAAAATAGACCTTCCATCTGTCTGCTTCTGACCTTTGCTAGACAGTGGTCACATGGTCCTAAAAGGCATTTAAAAAGGCAGCGCGTGCAGCTCACAGTTTGTATTTTACCCAAAAGACTTGAGGGGTCACTGCTGTCCTCAGCTGCTGTCGGTGAATGTCCAACATGTCACACACTGAGGAGCTTGTAGAGGAGTACGAACAGGAAGAAGAACAACATGAAGTTGAGGAGGATGACGATGTTGAAGAAGAGGTTGAGGATGAACCAGTGAAAAAAGAAGAGGGAGAGCAGGAGGAAGACTCGAAGAGGCGACACAAAACAACCTACATACCAAATATTGCTCCTCCCAAGCTCCCAGAGGGTGAGAAGGTGGATTTTGATGATCTCCATCGTAAGAGGCTAGAGAAGGACTTCAATGACCTCCAGACACTGATAGAACTACACTTCTCCACACGACAAAAAGAAGAAGAGGACATTGTGGCACTGCGTAGCCGCATCGAGCGTCGACGTGCTGATCGTGCAGAACAGCAACGTGTCCGTGCCGAGCAAGAACGAGAACGCCAGACACGCTTGGCTGAAGAGAAGGCTCGGCGTGAGGAAGAGGCTGCAAAGTTGCGAGCAGAGGAAGAGGCCAAGAAGAAAAAGATTTACACCAACAAGTCATTTGGTGGCTATCTCCAGAAAGTGGACCAGAAGAAAGGCAAAAAGCTTACTGCACGTGAGGAAAAGAAGAAGGCCTTGTTAGAGCGACGCAAGCCACTGAATATAGATCACCTAAATCAGGAAAAGCTGGCGGAGAAGGCCCAGGATCTGTGGACGTGGCTCCATCAGCTTCATGCAGAGAAGTTTGAATTAGCCGAGAAACTCAAGCGGCAGAAGTACGACATTCACGTTCTGCGGAACAGAGTAAGCGATCATCAAAGAGGCTCCAAAACATCCAAGACCACTCGAGGGGCCAAAGGAAAATGTGGCTCTTGGAAGTGAGAAAAAGACAGTTGTGTGTTTTTGGCCATTATTGCAGTGCACAGTTAAAACCTGTTATCACAAAAGCTGGGTCACTGCACGTCGCAGTCTCAGCACATCTCACTGTTCCCGTGTTTCAAATCCTTCTATTTCTTGTGTGTTTCTACTATGTGTCCAAAATCGACATGAATTGTTTAATTCCTGTTTATTATCACACAACTTTCTTCAGCATTTGCAATAGTATATCTTAAAATCAATTAAAGAATTATATTTTTCTCTCATTTTCATCTTTGGGTTACGTTTATATTTGGCCACTGTACGCTTCAAACATGTGTCTATAGCACAGGGATACTCACCAACCTTTTAGATGGTTGACTTTGTCAAGGACCACATTTTAAGTATTTAATTTAATATATTTTTTAATTGATCCCATCACTTACATTATTATACAACATAAATTAAAATGTGAAATTCATGTTTTATTTCATTATATACATTATTATATATGTATTTTTTATTTATTACCGTTCAGTCAATGATAATTAACAATAGATCAATGATTTCTATATTTTCCCCAAAGTCTCCTTTATGCAGACTACTAGATGAACACAGGGTGTTTTCTTTAATTATCAGTATCTGTGGATAAACTTGGATGAAAAGGATTATTTCAATTATATTGGAAATTGGGGACCAGGTGGCTTTTTACTTTATGTATGCATAGACAACAGCAATAACATGGTGCTATGCGGCTGTAAAAGAGACAAATGCCCCGTCATAAGCACTAAATCTTATTTATATCTCCAGCTCGTACCAAGTCCCAGCTTTATTTGGAGGACACTGAAGATAAGCCTGCAGCGCAGTGTCCCTGGGCTGTTTATCCACAAAGTGCAAGTGTCCAATGGAGCTGCTGCACACTGGCATTCACATCACCTATGGCCGTCCACCTATGCAGAAAAGACATGGAAACAGCTGCTCCTGAGAACACACCTTGAAAAAAAAGAATCTCTCTTGGTCCCACAATGGGGATATTTCAGTATTACAGCACACATTACAGAACAGCAGGAATAAAAGAAGCACTCAAAGCAAAATACATAAGAAAATGTCACTAAGTTAAAAAGATCATGTATTATGGATATATTATGGAAGTGGGAGAGTTGAGAGAAAAGAATAGGTCAAGAATCATAGTAGAGGAATCAAAGTCAAAAGTAGTCACAAGCAGTGATGAACGGCCCTTGCTAAATGTGCCACACAACTGTGTGGCACATTTAGCACATTTAGCAAACAAACAAACCGCATACAAACAAACCGCAGTAGTAACAGCGATTTTTATTTTTTTCTGCCACCACTATTTCTTCACAAATTCACTTTAGATGTCATGTAAAGAAACCAAATTAAAATGGTAAGTAACAAGGGTATAGTCTTGGTTTCCACCTCAACAGGCCCTGCCCCAGTGATGCGTTACTGTATGTGTTTATATTGTCTAGGCACTACAGTAGGAGACTAGATGTACAGCTAATAATAGTACATTTACAGTAATGTTGATTACTTTGATTGATGTGTATAGTCCCTATCCAAATCAATCAAACAGAGTAAAAATAGACCAACAGTACATGTTTTTCAATGGAGACACAGGGAGAACATACAAACTCCACATATAAGCCCTGTCTGAAGGTGGAATCAAACCCATGACTTCTTGCTGTGAGGCATGAGTGCTACTCATGCAGCCACTCTGGCAATTTTTAGACGAGATGCAGTTAGAAAATTCCCAATAACAGCTATGGCTCTCCACCCTCATCTTTATGAAAAGCACGTTGTATTATTCACATTATAATTTACAATAACTGAAGGAGAATTATCTTGCAGTGACACTTTATCAAGTCCCAGGTCAGAGTTGAAAGGAGGCCTATAGGAACTGTCAATCATGTGTTCCCATTATCTCACAGAGTTCGCTGAGAATTAATGAGCAGACCTCACGATGACTCTGCAGCTGTTGCCATGATTTCTCTTCAGGCATAAATACAAACCCCTGGTGTATTTATCCATGTTGCATAAGCTTTTAGCACTATAATGGCATACTTAAAATCCCTCAGTTTCTATGGAAACCTATTGGCTTTAACATTTTGTCTTGGCTTTGAGAAGTGATGAGATGAGCTCAAAATGCATCTAATTGGCATTCAATGTGAAGATGCATTGTAAGTGTAGACATATGGATACATCCCTGTAATCCCAATTGTTTCACATGCATTGCCGATTTGTGGGTTTTATTACGGTCGTCATCGCAGTGATGTGATAATGACATCTAGTGGACATTTGAAGGAGACCACATAACTTCTTGAACCATTTCTGCAAAAAAGAGGGGAAAAAAGACTACGCAACAACAACAATAACAACAACAACAACAATGCTATCTAAGGATTATTTGCCACAATTGAACAATAAAGCAAAAGTATTTAGCCAAATTGAGACTCACCTTCCTGTTAATAATATTTTCATGTATTTATATTGTATATTACCATCAAACTTGATATTTACTCAAATTACTCAAACTCAGGGAGAACATGCAAACTCCACTCAGAAAGGCCTTGTCCCGCCTGGGATTTGAATCGAGGCCCTTCTTGATTTTCCTTGTGTTGATTAGAAAAGGGGAGAAAAACACGCTCACACACACAACTAAAAGTGACGACTCACGACTGAACAAGGACTAAACCAGAACTAAACCATTCATATTATTATATTACGTCAAGTACACATTTAATAATATAAATTATATCATATCAGGCTTAAATATATTAAATCATGAAAGGCTTCAGTGGAGGACTGAGGCACAGTCAGTGCATGAAGGAGCGCTACCGCATAGCCTTTATCCCAACCCCTGTCAGACTGTACAATGAGTCACTTTAAGTCACTAATGCACTAGGACTGAAAAGACCTGTCCTGCTATTGCCACTCTTTTTATTGCCACTTGTTTATTGTACATAATTATATCCTGCACAGCACAGACTATATTTACTGTCTTTTGCACAATCTGAGTGATTCTATCCATGCCAAATGTGACATGTAAATTTCTCCAGTGTGAGATCAATAAAGTCTATCTTATCTTATCTCATATTGAGCCTGTAAGTAGACGGAGATTAAAGTTTCATGAATTAAAGTTCCCAATAAAAAAAATCATTAAAATGTCCACATCATATAATAATGAAAACGTGACAGAGGTGATTCACTGTCTGGTGATTAATTGACCACAAGATCTAAATGAATAAATAGTGTATGTTTGTAATAAACTCAAAGTTAAGCAACATTTTACACTTACTGTTCTTTTTATTTCACCGCATTGTAGGTAGCTAGTTAGCTTCTGTTGTGTCTGTTGATGTAGAAATTGGAAGGGTGATCTTCCAGAGATTCAAGGGGCAGTCACCTCACAGCCCCATTAAGTTTCTGCACATAATCCCAACAAATACAATATTGGTGGGTAACAATGAAATTCATTTATTGTCAGTTGTGTTCCAGAGGGCCACAAGTTGAGAAACATGGATGGAGTTTGCATGTTCTATTAAATTCAATATATTTCTGTATAGCCCTAAATCAGGAGTGCTCTCAGAGGCGGAGCAGCCCACGAGTCCTGAGAGATAACTGGATGGGGTATTACTAGCTTGGAGCTGAAGAACCCATGTGCTCAGGGGATTCTCGCGGTACTGCAGAGTAAACCAGACTAAATTCACGTGGGCTACTTAGAAATTTTCCCCATAGAACTCAATGCATATTAAAACAGCGCGACCTCAGCTGACAGAGAACCTACAGCTTTAATAAAGATCGGATTTTGTGGGGATTTTAGTGTCCTTTGTCATCCTGAACTTTTTTTCTTCTTAAATCCTTCGGTTTTCTTTAAATCCAAATTTAGTGCCACAAACTCTGCCCGTCTGGCTCTCACTCTAACTCCCGCTCTGATGAACTGCTCTGATTGGTCAGAGCGCGGCCGAGCCCCTCTGTGCACGTGCGTTAGACCCGGTGTGAGACCCACACACGCGTGTTTGGCGCAACGCATTATGGGAGATCATCCACTGCGCAGAACCGGGAGGACCAGACGATGCCCAAATACAGGCGAGTTTCCCATGGACCATTGCGAGTTCCAGGTGACTTCCGCTAATCTTTTCGGCACCCATGCCGTCACAAAGCGCCACTGAGCACAACCATTCATTTGAATAGGGCGCCATCTTGGATGGCCGGGGCTTGGATAGTCCACAGGTGCAGATGAAGGAGAGAGAGACAATGTTCTCTGACAACTGTTCTCTGCGATTGCCTCTGGATGCTCCGGTTTACCCTACCACTAAAACACGTACTCCTCCAGATCTGGTAGTCCTGACCAAGCTGAGCATCAACATGGAGATGGATCCCCGGGCGCAGGACTGTGACGACCACTGCTCCTGACAGAGGCCCTAGTGGCATTGGAAGCATGGGTCAAATGCAGAGGACACATCTCCCTGTGAGGACAATAAAGTATAAAAACCTTTCGGCAGCCGATAGGACTCCACTCAAGCTGACATCAGTGTGACATCACAAAAACCAGATCGCAACTCCCATGAAACATAATTTTGTAGAAATTAGTACCAATGTCCAAAACACTTCTACATACCTATTTTCTTAATTTGACTTTGCATGTGGTTGAAAACTCCCTATTGCTTCAACCATGGATTTGAAGCCACCATGGCTCAGTGTAAAACATGACTAAAGGACAGACAGCCCACTGCCTGGAATAAGCATTGCCCAGTGGTGTGAGTCTTCGGGGTGATTCATGCTGACGGCACCGCCTCTGCACTCCATGTAAATTATAAGGAAACAGACAGGTCCATTTCTGTGTCCCGTGACGACAATGATAACGGGGTCTGTGCTTTCCTTACACCTCATCAGGCACAATGACGCACAAATGTTTTAAATAATATCCTTCTCTGAGTCACCTTCTTTTAGAAAGCTTTGTGAATACATCACTAGAGATCTTAATGAAACTACTCAGATGATGAGAAAAAATAGATGTTTTGGCTTTGCACCTGTTGATGTTCATCAATGTGCAACTTAACTGATGAAGAAATGTCATGGAGGAAAGTTATTGGTAGAGATGAGACTAGGCCGTTGTGGCCAAAGCATTGTTGTGAAATAAAGATGAGCTGGATGTAAAAATGTAAAGAAACAGATAATAAAAGAGCATGAATAAGATGAGTCATGTCACGGTCACATACTGTGCCCTGTTGCGCCCGAGCCATACTGTTGTTTGTATCTATCTATCCAATCACTATAATACGCCACAAAGTGTGGAGGCTTTCAAGAAAGGCCTTTAATTTTTTTTATTTAAACTTTTTTAATTTTTTTGTTGACTCACAACCTGGAATTAACATGGATTGTTTGAGGATTGGCATCAGTTAATTTACAGAACATGCCCACAACTTTGAAGATGTCGCCTTTTTTTTTTAATGTGAAGCAAACAACAAATAGGACATAATAACAGAAAAGGTCAATGTGCATAACTATTCACCCCCCTAAAGTAAATACTTTATAGAGCCACCTTTTGCGGCAATCACAGCTCCAAGTCGCTTTGGATAAGTCACTATGAGCTTGCCACATCTTACAACTGGGATGTTTGCCCATTCCTCCTTGCAAAACTGCTCCAGCTCCTTCAAGTTGGATGGTTTGCGCTTGTGAACAGCAATCTTTAAGTCTGACCACAGATTTTCTATTGGATTGAGGTCTGCGCTTTGACTAGGCCATTCCAACACATTTACATGTTTCCCCTTAAACCGCTGAAGTGTTGCTTTAGCAGTGTGTTTGGGGTCTTTGTCCTGCTGGAAGGTGAACCTCCGTCCTAGCCTCAAATCACGCACAGAGTGGTACAGGTTTTGCTCAAGAATATCCCTGTATTTAGCACCATCCATCTTCCCCTCAACTCCGACCAGTTTCCCAGTCCCGGCTGCTGAAAAACATCCCCACAGCATGATGCTGCCACCACCATGTTTCACTGTGGGGATGGTGTTCTTTGGGTGATGTGATGTGTTGGGTTTGTGCCAGACATACAGTAGGTCCCATTCCGTTTTGTCGCCTTTCACGCGTGAATCACACGTGAGTCTCGTGTGATTCACGCGTCTTTTATTTTCCCCCTTCCCAGTGACGTTGCAATGACCAAAACAACCACCAGGTGGCACTTGTGAGCAGGGTTACATTGGCCAGTCTCTGGAATAACCCGCAGACATTAAAACTACTGCACACTGAGAAAAGTGTTGCAAGCGCAACTTTGAACCTAAGTACTTGTATTTGCAATTTCGGACTTAAAATTTATTCTTATGGTTTTAATATTAGAAAAATAATTTCCATTTACTAAAACAAAAACAATATACCCACAAATACGTTTTGTGTGTGTATTTAACTAAATTTTGAAAAAATATTGTTGGCAGTGCAGTGCTTCTTAAATCTGACGCTATCAATAAGTGTTCAGACAAAGTAATTTCTACTGGGCGGGAGTTTGCTTCCGGTTCGGACCGTTTCCGCGAGCTTGTTGTTGGTGATGGGCGCTGAGCCAGCCTTGGACACGGTCGTGTGGTTTCCCGTGAGATCCAACTCAAAGTAAGATTTTTTAAATATATGGTGCTTTCTCTGTAAGGTTTGTCGCGTATTTGATCAAATATATACAATCTGTGGTCAAATCGTCGTTTTATTTTCTTGGCAGTTCGTGTCCAAAATTACTTCATGTTAACTGTCTACTCTAGCCCCAAACATGTTGTTAGCATAAAACTGTGCCAGTATAATGGTCCTACAATTTCGTTGTTTAGCAAAGTGATTTGTGTTAAGACTCGTAACATTACCAACTACCCCTTAAATGTTCTGAACCATAATAACAGGCGTAGTTTTCGCAGTTTGGAGCTGCTAGCTTCTAGCTAGCTGTTGCTAACGGTACGCAGCTAACATAAGTAGACCAAAGTCGCTACTGTCCTGCTCTGTCTTGTTGCCGGAGGTGCAAGTGGAAAATACAGTTGGCAACAGAAGCCACGTGACATTTATTAATCTTCTATTATTTTCTACTCTTGGGGACAGTTCATTTCCCCGCAGAAGTCCCTAGTTACATTAGCTCAGCGGAGCAACTCTCAAGGAGGAGACAGGTGCAGAGCATGGTGCGGAGGCAGAAAACATGTTTATTGCTATCTGAGATCGCTCTGATTTCCTCGCGGTCAGAAAGTAGCTTGTTTCAGCAGAAAACTAACGTTAAGTTAACAGCTACTGCATGTTGTTAATGTTATGACCCGTCCGCATCAGCATCACTGTATTATATCAAGGCCTGTCTGTTTTAGCCAATGTGCAGCTATATGGTTAGTTATGATAAGTTCAAATAAATTCAGAAATCTGCAGCACATTTAAAAAACCCAAACAAAGTATAAGTGATACATTATAAACATGCATTTTTAAAAGAACATACTGAGGGTGACTGCTATAGCCTATTGCAGTCACAAAATTAGAGTGGAAATGTTAAAAATCTAATGTGACTTACATTCGCATTTCATATGAACAACATTTTGGCATGTTAATTTTGAAATAAACGATATTTTGCTGGACAAGTAGGTTTTGTTTCCGGGCAAGTAAAAAATACCTGCCACTTCAAGTACCTCAAAGCACTTAATGTCAAGTCCTGACAAGGTAATACATTCAGCTAAAGACAGGTACATGTTGTGGTATAGAATGTTTTTTGTGGAATCACGTGTAGTAACGCAAAATGCACAAAGCACTTTGTTTGTACTAATCTAATGCATTTTTTATATGTAAAAAGCAGCACCGCCTGTTTAAATGCTTATGATATTTGTCCAATGAAGAGTATTTTTAAGCATGTTTATTAATTTTATTTTATTTTATTTTAGATTTTTCCTTTCACTGCTGCCAATTGATGGAGGAAAGCTACAGCAGGAGGTAAGTGTGATACAAAAAGAACTGTTAATAAATTAAGTGAATGTAATGTACTCGCTAGGGATGCAATAGTTTTTTGGGGGGGGGGCATTATACATTATACATTACACTCACCGCAAGATTTGCGGTGAGTCCTTGGCAACAAAGAGAGGAGATTTTCCCATCATTTGTCATTATATACGTTTTTATATCTAAATGAACACAATCAGAAATATGAAAACATATTCAAGATAAGAAGTGCTGAATACTTCCTAATTCGTGGTGTTTTTTATTTCTATGTTGTTTCGTAGGATCCAACCGCTGCTATAGAAAAGAGGAGGGAAGTCGTAATCCGAGGCCTAATTGAATACATGGGGGAGAAGCCAGGAGACTTGATTTCAGATCTACAGGTAAAATTTCCAATCTTTTCTTTTTCAGGGTATAAAAAAAGTACCGTACCTTATGCTGATATGTCTATCATTAAGAGTAGTAGTATCACCAAATCCTCTTCATCCTCTGCATATGCTAAAAGTCAGCATATGCAGATTATTTAAAAAACATTTTGGTCTCATTTGACCATAGAATAATCTACAATCATGTAGAAAAGGTTAAATCATCTACTGGACTGGGTTTTGGTAAAGTTGCGGATGTTTCGCTTTTAGTGACACAAGCTTCTTCAGAGCTCTTAAAGTCATAAAAGAACACTTACCCAAACTGGACTAAAAACTAAAAAGACCCAGGTTCCTTCCAGAAGGAGAGAACCAAAACTGCCAAAAATGTCTATTCAAATTGTTTTCAATATCACTCAACTTTACCAAAACCCAGTCCTGGCGATGATTTAACCTTTTTATAAGATGGACACTCCCTGGATGAATGAGAGCCTTCACAAACATCTGACCATATGACATTCCCCCAGCCCTCTGGATGGAATGGTCACTGGAAAACTTCAGTTGGACATGAATGAACATGAGCTGGCTAAAGCAGCTGGACCTGTATGGTATGAATTAAAGGTGCACCGATCTGATCTGTCACCAATCATGATTGGTCGATCACGGCCTAATTTTTGTGATCGGTGATTGGTGAAATGCGCCGATCAGAGGGGCCGATCAAACGTAGATTTCAGACTTTCTTACAGTAGATAATCTGGTGAAAACTCCACAGTATAGCGCCGCTCTAAACCGAGTTTTAAATGTAATTCGTGGCTACAAAACCGCTCTGGATGAAATGCTCGGCTGTATCCCTCTGCGCATGTCGGCTCTCCTCTTTCCAGACTGCAGTGTAACTAAACAAAACAATGATGAAGCTTGAGCTAACCCGCTATCGCTATGCTTTAAGACAAAAACATGAGTTTGTGACAATAAAATATCAGCGTCTGGTACTTCTAATAGTAGGTAAAGGAGATGATTTGCCATGTACCATTATTTACATTTGCAACTACCGCATGACTTCACATGCGCGCTCCGTAAGTGATACCACAGGATATTTAACACAAAACTGTGCTATCTGAAACGCACGTGAAACTACAATCAGAGGCAGGGGTCATTGTCCTGTCTTATTTTGCTCTTTAGTACTCACTAAATGGCAGCTCGTCAAAAGGGAAAGTATGTGCGTATGTGTTTGGCACCTCATGTCGCCGTCTCCTTGTGGAAGTTCTTTTCTTTCTTCAAATATTGTCTAATGTTACTGTCAAACTAATTTAGGCAGAAATGTGAGAAATTCCACACAGTGTGCTCACTTTTTCTAAACATTAATTGAACAAACAATATATATTTGTACCGTCAAATAATTCCTGCAACATTATAACATACATAATGGCTGAATTTATGTGTTGTATCAAATATATTTAAGCTGTTACTGATGCATTTAGACACAAATTATGTAATTTAGTGACAAATCTCAAAATTAAACAGATATAATCGACTTGAAAATGTCTGCACAGCTCATCAGCCGTCAGTTTCTCTGAATAGGTTGCGTTCACGTTTTAGAATGTGATGATGGGCAGTTGTCAATACAACTCTATGGGAGAAATACAGTTTTTGTACGAACTCTCAAACAAAAATTGACAAATGTTTTTCCTCTTCAGTATTTGACGGTGATTAGATTTACTAACCCACTTTATTATTTGTATGGCTGAAAGTCCTTTCTACTGACCAACATCACGCTCATCATTTCAAAAATTGTCATTGGTTTATAATATAAACCAATGACCAATCATTATGTGCTGAAAGAGGAGTCAATGAACTTTGAGACAGTTTTTTTCATGTGGATTCTCCTAGTAATGATCTCAGTCAATACTAGGAGTACTACTACTCATTAACCAAAAACTAAGACAAAAAATATGCAGTTTGCCAGTTACCATAGTTAACGCCATGGAATTTTCACTTGCCCTCCACCTCAGTTTTAAATGAACACGTGAACACAACCTATTGCATTGACTATCAAAACATATCAATGTCTAATGTATTTTTCCCTCTCAAATAGAGTCTGGAGGAAACTGAAGACACTCGGCAGAATATCGCCTATCCAGTGAAGATTGTCAAAGTTGGTGACACGTACGAGATCAGCATTGATGGCCTTCAATGCATTACAGGTTTGGGCACTGTAGCCAAGGCCTCCTGTATTCTTGTTGGCGTTATATACGCATTGGACTTGAAATACCCACCCAAGCTTCAGCACACATTTGAAACTTTTCAGAGATTACTGATTGGTCTCAGTCCTGTGAAACCAAGAGCATCTGTGAGATACAGTTCACTCCTTAAAAAGCTGTCTTAAAGTTTGAATTAAGGAATCCTCACTTTTGACCCTGTTCTAACATTGTTCAAATATAAAAAGTGTTTGAAAATTCAAAATGGTGAGTTATAGAGGCTTAGAAGCACAATGTATCAGTTTTGTGAACTGCAACTGCATGTTTGTGTGTTGCAGCAGACACCTTTGTAATTCCCTCTGCAGTAGATGTAGCCATTTTTTTTTTTTTGTCCTAGGGATGTGGATTGTTCATTTGGGAATTATCTGTTCACTCACTATGATTTAGTAATTTTACACATTGTGTAGGACAGGGGTTCTGAAACTTTTAAAGGCAGGAAAACAAAATCAAAATTTGGATGAAAAAATTCATTTCACATTGCCCTTTTTATTGGTAGTTGTTTCCTTTTTAAAATATTGTATATCACAAGGAATTGTTTTATATATATATATATATATATATATATATTTGATCAGACTCCCTCTAAATACAACTTCAGAATTTGAATGAGACGTAAACGACTAGAACATGATTAAAACCAAAGTCCTTCAAGAAAGTTTTTAGAAATCTTTAAAAAAAATGTCTACTCATCTTTTTACTTTTTTTTGTTGTTAAAACTGGAGTGGTAAGGAAAAATGGTACAGAGTTCTGTTGGAAGATAAATATTAATGTTTCAAAATGTAATATTGAATATATAGTTACATTTAAGTGTACATATTGAAAAATAAATGTTGACGTGGAAAAGCTTTAAAAGGTTTTATTTTTTCAGAACACAAGCATATTGGTATAAATGTTTATTTTAAAGTCATGTAATTTTTTATCAGAGCTGACATTCTTGAAAATGTTTTATGAGTTTTCTGAGTTTTTTGAAGTACCGAGTTTAAGTATTGAGTTATGATGTTATGTTGCTGTTTATCGATCCTGATGGTCACACGTGAATGTGTGACCAGAGGGGGGGAATGTGAGATTTCATAACACTTTTAAGCAACTTTTGTTAAAGTTAAACTCATCATTCTATCAATGTGCAGAAGCCTGTACTTTTCCACTTCATGTTTTGTCTATCTGAAGGCCAAGCTACAAGTACAAAGTGGCAGCTGCTGATTGGAGGTCTCCATGCCTCCGCTCTGTATAATACACTTGCATTCTGTTGTATCTGTTGTTCGTGCTGTCTCTACCATCGACAATAAAACATGTCTTCTGTCTGAATTTAAGACGCGATCCCAGACTTGGCACATCTTCTTCAGGTGGTGGAAGGATGCGGGCCTTGTCTGTAACATCTAGAGAACAGAAGACATTTGCATGTCAAATGAGGTGATGACCGAAACAACAGGGGGCTAGGGTGGGCTTTGTTTATTCGTCTGGGGGAGGAAGGCCCAGTCCCAATACCCACACTGCACCCTACGCCCTCCTATGAAGTGTGCATTTGTTTGAAGTGCGCGCAAGGGTTTGAGTGCGCAGGTTACAAGTGTGCACAAAAGGTGGAATTGGGACAGTGCACACTGAGTGCAGGTTACGTCATCGACTCGTCAAGAGATGGTCATTTTCAGACCTAAACTTTATACAAATTAAAGGTAATTTTGTCTGATCCTTTGGGAAACTAAATGAATTGCTTCACACACGTTAAAATACATGTATATTAGTGGTTTCTAATTAGAGATAGCTGTATAATTTTAAGTTAAATGTGGGTAACTAACTGTTATCTGGTCAGTTTTTATACATTCTAAGATTATTGTACTAAGTGTAAAGTTTAAATTGAATGTTATATAAACGCTTGGTTTAAAAAGTTATTAAATTGTTAAAACACAATGTCCGTAATTCTTCATCAGACGTTTATGCTTCTTTCCAAGTAACATTGCAAAACTTATTTACACACATACTGCATATATATTTCAAAATGTATATTTAAATGCATTTTCCCGACGTTTTGGTGTGTACCGCAAAGAATTATGGGCAATATCCTTCGCCAGAGTGCGCATAGATGCAGGCTACGGCGAAGTGTGGATCAGGGGCGCAAAGGGGGCGGGGCCAAAGACCTCCCTGGAGAATTGGGACACCCTACACACTCGCACCCTTTATCGGGAACGCGCAAATGAGGGGCGCGAGGGTGGAAGTGCGAGTATTGGGACGGGGCCGAAGGGCTGCGAATGAGTGACTTCCAGACTGTGAACCCTGAGAATTAATATACTGTATATATTTTGTAATAACATTTTTAACACAGTATGTTTCATTCTGACTGAAGCACATGATAATGTTATAAAACAGTATGTTTCATTCTGACTGAAGCACATGATAATGTTATAAAACAGTATGTTTCATTCTGACTGAAGCTCATGATAATGTTATGTGATGTGAGAAATGCACTAAAGCCACTGGAGAAAAACTAACTATTCAGATCCTCCCCCTCCCCCTAAGATGGCAAAGTGAAGCTCAGCCTGTGATAACGGCCCTATTTACATAACAAAGTTGGCCGTTCACAGGTGATTTCGTTTGTTAGCTAAAATCCTTGGGGTCATTTGACACCGTGGAGGGGATGATAGGTATAAGTGCCAAATGACACCTCCATGCGAGTGCTAGTGTTAAAGCTGCTTTCAATATCTTTTCAAATCTGTTTTCCTTTTCTCCATAGCATGTCTGTAACAAAAGTTCTCATAATCTGAAGTCGGCGTATTTACATGGTTTTATGAAACAGAATTCTGAGAAAAACAGGTTTAAAGATCGACATTCCAAACATAATCATCACAGTCACATATAACATGTAAATTTTGAATTACTCTGTTATGGCACACTTGTTTTAGTCACTATGTTGTAGAAGATTAAAAAGATGTTACTTTGGCACCAATTAAACACACAACACTCATGAATTAGTCGAAAATCAAGAATGTATTGATTCTTTCAATATTCAATGGATTGAATTTTGACCTCCTCTTCTTTTTCTTTCTCTTTATAATTTACTGAAAATTAGATATGTATTAGACATTGCCAGTATTATTCTATCAAATCACGCAGTCTAAATATCCACAACCACCAAGCATTTTTAATGCAAGGAGAAACTTAGGTAACTTTAAACACAAATAAAACAAATGGACCTGTCCGACTCGAGTGTCTATGCTTCGTGTGTCTCTGGTTCTGTCCAGGTGTCTATGATCCGCGTGTCTCGCGTGTCTCCGCCTGTCTGGGTTCTGTCTGCGTATATGTAAATGTAAATGTAAATGTCTGTCTGTGGTTCTGTTCGCGTGTCTATGGTCCCGCTCGTGAGCAGAGAGAGACGTGAGCAGAGAGAGAGAGCAGAGAGAGACGTGAGCAGAGAGAGAGAGACGCGAGCAGAGAGAGAGAGCAGAGAGAGACGTGAGCAGAGAGAGAGAGAGAGAGCAGAGAGAGACGTGAGCAGAGAGAGAGAGACGCGAGCAGAGAGAGACGCGAGCAGAGAGAGACGTGAGCAGAGAGAGACGTGAGCAGAGAGAGAGAGCAGAGAGAGACGTGAGCAGAGAGAGAGAGACGTGAGCAGAGAGAGACGTGAGCAGAGAGAGAGAGGTGTGAGCAGAGAGAGAGAGCAGAGAGAGACGTGAGCAGAGAGAGAGAGACGTGAGCAGAGAGAGACGTGAGCAAGAGAGAGAGAGAGTGTGAGCAGAGAGAGACGTGAGCAGAGAGAGAGAGGCGTGAGCAAGAGAGAGAGAGAGAGAGAGAGAGAGAGAGAGACGGGAGAGAGAGAGAGAGAGAGAGAGAGAGAGAGAGAGAGAGAGAGACGTGAGCAGAGAGAGAGAGACGCGAGCAGAGAGAGACGAGAGCAGAGAGAGAGAGACGTGAGCAGAGAGACGTGAGCAGAGAGAGAGAGACGCGAGCAGAGAGAGACGTGGAGCAGAGAGAGACGTGAGCAGAGAGAGGTGAGCAGAGAGAGAGAGAGAGAGAGAGAGTGAGAGAGAGAGAGAGAGCGAGCAGAGAGAGAGAGAGAGAGAGGAGAGAGAGAGAGAGAGCGAGCAGAGAGAGAGAGCAGAGAGAGAGACGTGAGCAGAAAGAGAGAGACGTGAGCAGAGAGAGAGAGGCGTGAGCAGAGAGAGAGAGAGGTGAGCGAGAGAGAGAGAGAGAGACGCGAGAGAGAGAGAGAGAGGTGAGAGAGAGAGAGAGAGACGCGAGCAGAGAGAGAGAGACGCGAGCGAGAGAGAGAGAGAGACGAGAGAGAGAGAGAGATGCGAGAGAGAGAGAGAGAGATGCGAGAGAGAGAGAGAGAGATGCGAGCAGAGAGAGAGAGATGCGAGCAGAGAGAGAGAGATGCGAGCAGAGAGAGAGAGATGCGAGCAGAGAGAGAGAGGCGTGAGCAGAGAGAGAGGTGAGCAGAGAGAGAGAGATGCGAGAGAGAGAGAGAGATGCGAGCGAGAGAGAGAGATGCGAGCAGAGAGAGAGAGACGTGAGCAGAGAGAGAGGGACACGAGCAGAGAGAGAGACGTGAGCAGAGAGAGAGACGTGAGCAGAGAGAGAGGGACACGAGCAGAGAGAGAGACGTGAGCAGAGAGAGACGACGTGCAGAGAGAGAGAGACGTGAGCAGAGAGAGACGTGAGCAGAGAGAGAGAGACGCGAGCAGAGAGAGACGTGAGCAGAGAGAGAGAGGGTGAGCAGAGAGAGAGAGGTGAGCAGAGAGAGACGTGAGCAGAGAGAGAGAGACGCGAGCAGAGAGAGAGAGCAGAGAGAGACGTGAGCAGAGAGAGAGAGACGCGAGCAGAGAGAGAGAGCAGAGAGAGACGTGAGCAGAGAGAGAGACGTGAGCAGAAAGAGAGAGACGTGAGCAGAGAGAGAGAGACGCGAGCAGAGAGAGAGAGATGCGAGCAGAGAGAGAGAGATGCGAGCAGAGAGAGAGAGAGATGCGAGCAGAGAGAGAGAGAGATGCGAGCAGAGAGAGAGAGATGCGAGCAGAGAGAGAGAGATGCGAGCAGAGAGAGAGAGACGTGAGCAGAGAGAGAGGGACACGAGCAGAGAGAGAGACGTGAGCAGAGAGAGAGACGTGAGCAGAGAGAGAGGGACACGAGCAGAGAGAGAGACGCGAGCAGAGAGAGAGAGGTGAGCAGAGAGAGAGAGAGGTGAGCAGAGAGAGAGAGACGCGAGCAGAGAGAGAGAGACGTGAGTCCGCGTGTCTATGGTCCGCGCTCGGAGCCCAGACGGCAGTGCGTTCACTGAGCTGTCAGAGCGGGGGTCACAGCAGCTGCTCTCGGGGCCAGAGCGGAGGATGTAACGTAACGTTCGGTTTATCAAAATATATCACAATATTTAACGTATAACACTAGTGAATTTCACCTAGATTTTTTCAGACATTAAAGACAAGATGTTATATAATAATTGTTTAATGAAAAAACAATTTTGCCACAAGCAACCAAAAGATGTGCCTCAGACAAGAATCGAACCTGGGTTCTCCAGGTCCCTGTATTTAATGCTATCCATTCGGCCAACAAAGCACCTCTGGGCTAGACAGGTTTGCACGCAGTATGATACCTGAGCGTCTAAGTCGCTGGCAGAGCTAAAGCGGACTTAGCCTGCCACCTTGTGGCGATAAGATGTACTATTTTTCACGCAGCTGCGTGATTCCCGAGAAGCGTGAATGAAGACGACAAAACGGAATGGGACCTACTGTAGCGTTTTCCTTGATAGCCGAAAAGTTAAATTTTAGTCTCATCAGACCAGAGCACCTTCCTCCATACATTTTGGGAGTCTCCCACATGCCTTTTTGCAAACTCAACACGTGCCATTTTGTTTTTTGCTGAAAGTAATGGCTTTCTTCTGGCCACTCTGCCATAAAGCCCAACTCTATGGAGCGTACGGCTTATTGTCGTCCTATGTACAGATACTCTAGTCTCTGCTGTGGAACTCTGCAGCTCCTCCAGGGTTACCTTAGGTCTCTGTGCTGCCTCTCTGAGTAATGCCCTCCTTGCCCGGTCCGTGAGTTTTGGTGGGCGGCCGTCTCTTGGCAGGTTTGCTGTTGTGCCATGTTCTTTCCATTTGGTTATGATAGATTTGATGGTGCTCCTGGGGATCATCAAAGATTTGGATATTTTTTTATAACCTAACCCTGACTTGTTCTTCTCAACAACACTGTCCCTTGCTTGTTTGGAGAGTTCCTTGGTCTTCATGGCAGTGTTTGGTTAGTGGTGCCTCTTGCTTAGGTGTTGCAGCCTCTGAGGCCTTTCAAAAAAGGTGTGTATATGTACTGACAGATCATGTGACACTTAGATTGCACACACGTGGACATCATTTCACTAATTATGTGACTTCTGAAGGTAATTGGTTGCATCAGAGCTTTTTATGGGCTTCATAACAAAGGGGGTGAATACATATGCACATGCCAATTTCCAGTTTTTTATTTCTGAAAATGTGTTTTATTTATCTATTTTTCTCAATTCACTTCACCAACTTAGACTATTGTTTTCTGATCTATCACATGAAATTCAGATTAAAAAAACATTGATCTAAAGGCTGTGATGTAACAAAATAGGTAAAAAGCCACGGGGGTGAATACTTTTGCAAGGCACTGTAGTTATGTTTTTATGTGTTCATGATGGTGTCTATTTGATGTTTTGTGAATATGTACAAAAAAAAAAAATCAATGTTGTGTATTCTTGGGAATGTCCCTGTTCTGTAGCACTCTGAGATTTCATTGAAATGTAAAGTGCATTATAATTTTTTTTTAAATTATTATTATCATTGTGGCTAGGGTAACCAACAAGTAGTTATATGGGCTTCGCAAGAAGGAAATGTGACGGTTTCCAGCGGTTTAAACCCGGTGATATCATTGGCTACATGAAATAACAAATAAACTATAGCCCACAATCACTTCATCCTTTCTCTGATCACTTCATTGTAAATCCTTGCAGAATAAATCTAGTTGATATTTACCCTTCTACCGGGAATACACTCCACTCTAATCATGATCATAGTGAGGTCTAAATTTGTAATAGCGGTTTCATCGTCACCATAAACCAAATGAAAGGTCAGCGTTTAAACCTGTGGGGTCTTCTCCTTGCAGATGAAATAGCACAATCTGAAAATACCCAGGACGAAATGTCAAACTTTGTGTGAGATTCTACAAGCGTCTGCCAGGTTTACTGCATATTTGCAAAATCACTGCATGCAAAGGTCTACCACAATTTATTAAAACACAATTTTAGAAGGCCAAGCGATATAATGATGACATGAAAATTCTCAAATCGAAAATTGTAGAATTGTAGAAAATTGTAGTATGGCGCCATAAAAATGGCGCTGTGGCAAGAGCTCTGGTGTGTGTGGTCTTCTCTGTCTGGTACACACTGAGGTAATATTGCACAGTTTTTCCAATGTGGTTTTACTGCAAATGGCAAATCAATTCTTGTTGTATGAAACACAAACATAATCCTGTTCTTAAATTATTATCCTATCACAAGCGAGAAACCTGGACAGCCATGGGGACCAAAAGATCAGCAGAACTCAACCATATTTGGGCATCGTCTGGTCCTCCCGCTTCTGTGCAGTGGATGAGCTCCCATGATGCTTTGTGCGAAATACGCATGTGCGGCTCTCATGCATGTGCACAGAAGGGCTCGGCCACGCCCTGACCAATCAGGCTCAAGTTTAGAATAACAAGGGACACTAAAATCCAATCTTTTAGTGTCCCAGAAAGAGTTCTGTGGGACATTTTTCTGGGTAACCCACATGAATTTTGTCTGCAGTACCGCCAGTCTCCAAAAGGTCCATGAGCATGTGTGCTGACATACTTGCACTGTCACTTTGGGCCGGTGGGGGTGTACCTGGAAGAAGAATTACCCAATCGTAATGATAATAATAGCAATAGTAAGGGTAGTAATGATAGCGAACACAAATAGAACAGGGCAAGTGGAGAGGGCCTATCAATGAGAGTGAACAACCTGGAGTTGTTAGCCCCCACAAATCCCGTTTTTTTTTTTACCCTATATACAAAAAACCGCCTCATTTTGGCTTGTGCACAAAAGTTGGGCATACCCAAATGTCTTTGCTTATTTAAAAACACATCTTACATCTCACATGCTTGTGTGATACATCATTTCAAAGCTAGAGCCTTCTAGTTTATGTAAAAAAACACTAAAATAATGTTTGTCATTCCTATTTTCCTCTGCATCCTTTGAAGTTAGGGATAAAAAACCCCAATTTT